TTGAGTCACGCCTATAGTTTCAAATTTCGAACGACCATTTTTCACCGCCCATTGCATATTCGCAATGTCAACCGCACCGTACATTATTGAATAGACTGTTGCAAGTGAAACGTGATCGGACAACTGATAAGAACCTGATTTGCGTCAATTTACATTTGAACGGTGATTCAACTTCGCGAGATGCGAAAGGAGGACGAAAGGTGACACGACCTTACGCGAGCTGATAACGGCATCCAGGAACAATCCTCGCTATCTTTATTATATCAGCACACTTTTGAATAGCTATGCTACAAGCAAACGAACCATATATAGCTACAACTCCATTTTTAATTCACATTATTATAAGTCATCATTAGTACGACAAGCCTGATAGTGGGTCTGCTAACATATATGTCAGGCGTTTCATCTTATAGTTAGGCAACGGTGACAGATCGTGCTCTAAAGAGCTTTTTAAAACCGCCCTTAGATGAACGTTAATTAGCAGTAGGCGATAAAAATAAAGTTCGTGGCCGAAAGCTATAATTATCTAGTTAAAATATCGTGTTAAAGTTGCATTAAGAATGCGACATCAATTATAAAATATTTGTAATGCTGACTCACGAGTTGATAGAAAGCGCCGATTACAGAGCGACTATATTTTGCGAAGAGTATGCGTAAAAGAGGTAACCTCCGTCGACACTACAAGTACACAAAAAGATGATTACGCTGTAACTGCAAACAAACACGTTGAAACAACGGAATACTATCTACTGCCGTGTTACGGAACACTAATTTACGTACGCCCTAATTATAGCAGAGATAACTGAGCCGCTCTTCATGTGCAGTCCTTTGAGTGAGTGCGGTAATTGAACGATGTCGGAAGCGTTACGTTAAATTACTTTCAATCAATTAATCCACGTTATACAAATCCTCAGAACCGCAGACGCGGCACATTGACCCCCTTCTGAATCATTGATAGTCAACGACGTAGCTAAGAACACTATTATGATGTTAATGCTAGACTCGGAGGACTTACATATGGCCGTGCGACTTAATCGGCTATTTATCTTTATTACATCTTCGGTCAGTAGAGCGGTGGGTTGGGCTCTCCGCGGATTACCGCGTCCTGACTGTGTGCGTTACATAATACTCGACATCATTCATATAAGTTTAGTGCCGTCTCTAGATAGGGAACGTTGAATGCGCAACAAATATTGGTTCGGCCGAGCATCACCAGTAATCACTAGCAACAATAAATTCATAATAGTCTATGGCGTCCGTCAATAATCTTTTAACGATTGAATGTATGCAACATTCGTTTAAATTGAATACATTGTACACAAAATGTTTCGTCACTAAAAATATGTAGATAGCCAATGGACGAACACAATGTCAAAGATCCGTTGTGGCATCGAATGATCGCTTTTGTAGCCGTCTGACGTATCGTGTAGTTAAATACACAAAAGGAAAAAAGAACATTCAACCATCTTCCGTTCCTACATTTTTATTTAACAACGGAAGCCGCATGACTCGACAAGAAAAACTCAGATTAATTTTCACCGCTCGCGCCGCGACCAAACGTCCGCAAAGTAGAAAATAAATTGCTTGAGCATCGAGTCGGACAGGGGAGGTGAGGCTACACAAACAAAGCGGACGTGACATTAGGAATATATGTATTAGACAAGAAAAAACAATTCGTTACGTTAAACACGACCTAAATAATCTGAATACCTACTAACACTAATAATACCTATAAATTGTCTTGATTTTTAATAATATCTCATTTCTGTAGGAAATGTCAAAGTATTTACAGCTTCTAGTAATAAGCATGTAGACGCTTCATCCTTTGCTACTAATTAAATCGTAATGTAAACCGATGTTCCAATAAAAGGCAATCGAAATGCTTTAGCACCTGGAAGTGGTCTGTAGCCGCATTGGCTTGCTGCCAGTTCCACTGAACTTTGACAACTCGACTGTAAATTGCATTACACTTCCGTCCAGCAATTTCACTATCTACAAACATTAATAAATTATATTACCATCAGGAAATGTGCGTTAACTCGACACTTAAGATTTTTTTAATTGTGAGGACAACAACGAAAATTCAAAACATGCCAATATCATTTTAACTTTTTCTTTCGTAAAAAACCGCACCCAGGCCAGACTCGCCTTGCAAGTTTCAAGTGCAGTGAGGTCGATGTGCTCCCAATATGAACATTCCTTTCCCTTTCTGAATATTTGATTGCTTCCAGGCATAAAATAAGAACAAAAAAGTAATAAGAGTCTACAAACGTTAAATTTCACTTAACAATGTAACTACGCGATTCTGTGACATATCTCACGAGTCTTAACAAAACGAATGAACAGAAACTGAATTGAAGTGTTGTTCATCGGTCGTAAACTTTTTAAATAGCCCGAATAAATATAAATCTCCATCAGACTAAATTATCAAGACGACATTAAAAATTCAACAGATTGTTTAGCTGTCGTCTATCAAGTTACTAAATCTGACACGACACGTGTAAAAGCGTCGATGTAATCGAAGTTCAATTAAGAGTGATACGCATCTGAAGGCACGGGGTCGGGCCGTGACGAATCGCGTTGGTTACCGAAATCAGTACGACTACGTGACGGCAGCCGATACCGCAAACCGAAAATACACTCTGGGTATACCTTTAATATAAAAGAAACATTAACAGACAGGGCTACTTTTAGCCCGCCTCCTCCAGACGCCGTTTAAACCGTTCACACGTTCAATGATCGAGAAACAAGTCCGGAGATGTCTACAAAAGATGTAATCGAGGAGCGTGACAGCCGTGACAATGCGAGCCGGCAGGAGGATTACACAACGAGGCATCTCGGGGCGGACGATTAGTTGACCCCGGGGTAGCGTGTAAGCGTGCGTTGAAAATCATAATCCCACGAGGCGGAGTCAGAGAATTGCGCAGGAATGCAAATAAATAGATGCAAAGAGCGGGACGAGCACACCTGCCGTACATCGCATCGACGACGGAATAAACAATGCGTATCGACACGCGCACCGCCCGCGCCCCACGCAGACGGCCTGTGATCGAGATAAAGGCTTGTTTTCCTTCCGGGACTCTATTGATGTCTAGAGGAGACTCGTAAACGCTTTATAGAGATAGTTAAATATTTGGTGATCGAAGACACTGCGACTGCGAGCTGAAGTGACCCAGTTTGAAAACCTCTGTGTAAATCCAATATCCATGATACGTTAAGAGAATATCTTTAACTTTGACGAAATCTTTAACCTGAAAAGTTTCGTTTTTAATTAAATCTGTACGTAAACAAAAGGCTCAAACAATCTTAAACACGATAATTTAAGACATAAAAGAGAAGTGCTAATAAGATCGTAATTTAAATTTTCTCGTCGATGTGTTATTTCCAAAGTCAGAATGGTATCTCGATGTTTGGCTTAACGTCGAAGAAATAAATGGTCGGCGTTTTCGTTTTCCCTTTAATTAATTGCTGTCATATATTCATATTCATCCATCATCGTTCTTGGTTAATTACTTGACCTGTCGGTTGCACACACGTTGTTGCTTTTGGTTTATCTGCCATTTCGTTTTTTACTTTTTTAAATGCAACATTACACATCGTTAGGAACGTATCATTAGTAGGTTAACTTTCATCTTGAACTGTTTTGATAGAATTAAAAAAGACGGAAATGGAACTTTTAATTCCGAGTATAATTATGATTTCAAGATATTGACAATGATGGGTAAAGGGTAGATGTGAACCGCAAAGTGGCGAGCGGCGAGCGGCGAGTGTCGTGTGGTCTGCGGCGCGGTCGCGCTGTAATTGTGCAGTCTTCCTGCCCTAGCCCTTGATTACGCCGCGCCGCGCCGCGGTTCATTGTTCGCGTTCACCTTTGAGTTCCTTGCGATTTGCACTGTCATATTATATTTAGTTCAAGACATAAATAACACGTCTTTTATTTTTGTTCAAATTGCAATATTTATTTATGATAGAAGTTAAATTAATTTACTGGTAATATTAAAAACTATGATTTAAAAACTTTACCCTAGCCTTATAATTTAGTTTTTGTATGAATCTCATTCATCATGCAAATTACTGTATTTAATTGATCCACAAAACGGGGACGGGATCGAACGTTATTACTGGTGACTCAATCAGAACATTTGAATAAGTGGGCCATCTCCGTGCCAGATACACATGAGGATGTTTAAATTTATATCTGCGGTTAGACTATCTAGAAATAAGCGGTCGTTCGCAGCCTGAGAAATGTCTCGCACGATGCATTTTATGTGCACCTCGGCTTGTTACAATACGAGAAAACGTTATATTATTGTATTTTCATTTCTTTCCTTAACCATTTTCTTGAAAACATACTCTTTTCCGTTCTTTTAAAAATTTTGAGAACATATTAAAACTATAAACTATGACAAATAATTTCCCTGCACGTTAAAACCTAAGTAAGAGTTAAAATGCTCATAAACTGTAGTTACACATTGTCTCAGAGTCATTTCACATAAATCCTTTGGAGTCAACAAAGGACAATTTTGAATCGTTGCCAAAACTGCGAAGGAAGCGTGTTTACAAAATGTCGTTATGCACTAACAACTGTTGAACTACGCACTAATATGTTAATGCAATCACTCATTTCATCACTATAGTGACCAAAATAAACTTTTTTTACATGAAATTAAAAGCAAATGTGAAGTAAATTCTGATGTTTTGTGATCTATTCTAAGCAAATGAGCCAATTGACTGAATTATCAACGCATGTTACAACTAAAAACGTAAAACAGGCAAGCACTAAGAAAAGAGTGAAAAGACTTCAACATTTGAAGCGGTCAAAAGGATAATAGGAATGAAAGTAAGGAAAACCGAAAGCGTTACTAATATACTAACGTTGAGTTAGAAAGCGAACGAAAAGATAAACAGCATTCGAAATATAAACTATATATTATAGTTTTCTTAAGTGATCATAAACGGTAAGGTATTAGCTACTGATTGCAATAAAATGAACATTTCAGACGGGGCGATGTTAAGAGCGGCCGTGGCGGCGCTAGCGTGCCTCAGCGTGGCGCGCGCCTCGCCCTCCGAGCCGCACCAGATGCGCTTGTACGCGCAGAACTCATACAACACTCAGGTACTACAAATACAGAAAGAAACCTAATAATGAAGCACCTCTATCATATTATCAAAAAGTTGGTAATTTGAAGTAGTAAATTGCTTAAACTCACTGTTTTCCACAGCTAGTTTGACACAACTTAGTATCTAACCACCGAATTCGCCAATATATATGTAAGTGGTTTTTGTAATTGTTAAAAACTACTGTAACTACTTAAAACCGATTCTATTTAAATTACTCAATAACATTGTTATACGTAAAATTGATGAACTTAAAAATAGATATCGTTGCTGTGGAAAACACAGTAAAAACATTAAATCCATGACCCGAAAACCAAGCTGTAAAATACGTCAGTGCAATCCATAGTTCATACAAATGAGACATAATGGAACAAAATTTCAGATGCAACAACACTGTGACTAACTAATTTCACGCGGTTTTAACACTGCCCTACGACCTCAAACATTATGTTTATACATTTTACAAACACGAATAGAAATATTAGAGTTAAAAAATTTTTTTCCCAGAAGACTTCCTAATTTAAGCGCAAGTTCATTCATAAATCTTAATTAAAGAATTGCTATCATTTTAACTATTATCTTTAATCTAACATAATTTACAGGATCTGAACAGTGTATTAACGAGTATCGAGGAGCGACTCAGACTTCTGGATACAATAAACGCAGCTCAAGTGAAACAGGCGCGACGCCTGGACGTCATACAAGATAAATTGGGTGAGCATTATTTATGCTGTTTAAACACAAGCGACAAGAAACAATTACTTCCAGAGATTCAGTAACGAAATGAATACTAACAAAACCTAAAATTGATACAATAATGTAGACAATCGAAACTATGTAATAAAATAAGGAATGATTTTATGTTATAATATTTTACAAAAGCTCGCTGTTTCGGTCGATGCCAAAAGTTTTGTAAAGTCCGCATGTAGCGTGTTATCTCTTGTACGTTCGTTTGTTAAAGTTGAACACAAACATTCCATCCACGCTGAAGATCAGCACTTCCCTATCTGACCCAAATCTCGTACAATTCGTACAAACGAACGGCACTTCCAGTGTTTATACAATGAGTAAGAAATTATTGTGTCATATCCTATTTTAGTGACGCAGTGTAAAGTTTCGCAACGTATCTCGTATATCATTTACAATTAGACAAAAGGGGGCGGCGTACAATCAATTGCCAGCGATAGGATAAAGCGGTCTGTAATAGGAAAGGATTAACATAACATCTAGGAAGAGATGGTGAATGAGGATTTCCTAATTGATTTGCAATTGATCGCAGACCGCGTGGAGACGACGCTAACGTTGCGACTGGAAAGGGCGCAATTGGCGGCGGAGAGGCTCGAGCATCGGCTGCACATGTTACAGACTACAGTACAGGTCTGCACTATTATGCTATTTAAATTTGTGACGAAAATGACAGCCATTACAACTAGATTAAGGACATTCAACTTGTTTATTGAACTAATTGTTATTAATACAAATTGCAGGCGTCGATTAAGGAGAGCAGCGAGAAAATAGAGCGCAGTCAAATTAAAATCGCCGAAATCGCACAGAACCTAACTAATCATATTAATTCCCACGCTCATCTATTAGAAAAGGTATGTATTAGTTAAACAGCTCATTGTATCAATTGACAAAGTGTGACAAGCATTTAACTGTCAGTTAACACTCTAACATTGGTATTTACTACTGTCTGCATCAAATTAAGGGCGCTATTACAATGTGCACCGAGTTAAGAATTCCTTCATACAATTGATTACCAACGTAATTCTTTGCTGAGTACTTATTTTTATGACTTGTCATGTCCTTACATAATGTACATAATTACATTAAAACCCTGTCCGTGACCCAGAGAGGTGGCCGGTGATTTAATCCGTTCATTCATGTTTACTTACTCAAAATAGAATTATGCTTTATGATTAATTTAACGATTATATTAAATATGTTATAACATACTAATGACTAAAACATAACATATTTGGAGTTATTTCTTTTACTTTTTCCTTATAACCAAAACCAGAATAAAAATAACATCTTATTGGTTTATTGCTTTGTAGGTGAGCGGTGCATACGCAGAGACTTGGCACCGCGGTATAGTGCTTGAGTCTTTGATGAGGGACGGCCTAGCCCTGGTGAACGTGACGCGACGCGAGCTCGCCGACGGTCTACGCGCCCTAGCGAGACGACAGCGTGACGCTAGGCTCTCGTCAGCTGATTTGGAGGCAGCCTTTTCTCGGCGACTGCACGATAACTCATATAAGATCGATTTGAAGGTAAATATTTACTATTTAGAGAAAACTACGAAGATTTTTGTATCAATTTCATAAGGATATTGAAAACAATAACTCAGGGTATTTAGCCTGCAATCGTATATATTTTATGTAATGTGTTGAACCATGCACAACGCGGCACAGATTTGATGGACGAATGTCCAATCCCAGTAAGCTACACCTGTACTTTATAATAATAATGAAAACCATTAGTTACTATCATTCCATTTCGTTATTTTTCTTACAGATGCAGGAATTATTAGATGAACAAAAGCGCTTCGTAGACTCATGTCAGCGTGTGCAGCTAGATGACCCCACGCACGTCGCAGACGTCTTGGACAAACTCATCGATTCACTCATCAACAAGTACGTATCTTTAATTAGAATTTTATGGTTTTGGGATGAAGCTCGTAGTAATGCAATTCTACTATAAAAGTTTAATTTAGTCGTCGTATTGTTGCGACAAAAACAATGCAGTAAAAGAAACGAAATTAATAGAAACAAGACATAAACCATTAACTCAAAAAACCAAATTAATGTACAGAACCGCAGCTACATTCCACGAGCTGCAGAACATCCAGGTAACCATGCGAAACCACGACAACAGGATTATGAAGCTCCTTAACAACGGTCGGCAAACACAGGTACACAAACGCAGTAATTAACAAGTAGATGGATCAAAACATAATAAAAGCGACCAAGAAGTAATCACTAAAATAACATTCTTTTGTATTTTCAGACGGATTCAAACTGTCGTCGATTAGAGACCTTATTCCGAAATGCGTCGCATACGACGTTGAAAGAGAACGAACTGCAACAGCTGACGGAAAAATTCGTCGGGCTGACGAACAGAGCAGACGCGGCGCTGCAACGCTTGGAGAGGCAGCTCGGCTTCGAGAACAATGAGCCCACACCCCCCACGTCAGAGGTTAAAGAAGAAGCCGACCGATTGCTTCTACACCTAAATGCTATCAGGTAAACCACAACTTAATTTAAATTAAAACAAAAAAAAATCATAAAGAAATCTCACAGATTGAATCTTATAGTAACCAATGTTTAAAAAGATATGTTACAGTGAAAGCTACAACTTTTGAAAGAAAACAATACAAATAAACTTTATTTTGCAGAAATGAAGAGGTATCAGATGAAGATGATGATTGGGAGGATAGCGACCAATACAATAACCTTTTCGATGAAGGTGGAGGCAGCGATATGATGAATGAAGACAAAATTATTTTAAAGAACCCACTTGAGACAAGCATAGCTGCCAGGCGGCCACATCGGAGACATCTGCGCAAAGATCCTTACGACCGTGGCCCTAGCTTGAAGAGCAAATCTTTGTCTTAAATTTAATTTTAGCTTTTATTATATTATTTTAATAATAATATCTATATAATACCATATGGATGTTTTATTTCACAGTCATATCAATTAATTAAAATTTTCATTATTTTAAATTTTTATAGCTTAGTTTTTATATTTAAGAATTAAACAAAGCAACCTATAAGACAGGCCTGTTTCTTTTACAGTAGTGACATAATATCATACCTTTTAACCAAATTGTGTCAAAAAATTAGTTACAACTGAATGTCTATAATAGTTATAAAAAACTATAGACTGTGCACTACTTCCAAAGATTAACACATAAATAATAAAATCCTTTTCATTTATAATTGTACTATTTAAAATATCTGATATGAATATATAAATAAGAATTTAATAAGATATTGCCTGAACTGGGTTGCCTGGAAGAAATCGCTCTTAGCTATAAGACTGTCCCTGGGCAAATCTAATATTACTTAATTTAAGCATTGTTGTATGATATGTGCAAAAATAAATACATAAATAAATAATGCATAAGAAAAGATAAATTCTTCTTAAAGAAAACCAAAGCATTAAAATTACAACTACATAAAAAAACAGTGGTTTCCATTCAAGGAATATTTCTTTTGGATAAAATCAAGTGACAAACAGGTTCTCTACTATTTAACTCACAGAATAATATTTAACACACACATCACTTGGAAAATTTGAGAATACCTGGATGTACTTTCAATTCTGTAAAACACACCACCACATAATTTACAGAAAGTTGAAAAAATCTTAGGATTATGGGAAAAATCCAATAAGAATTTTAACTAACATAACATTAGGCTTTGCACAAAGTAAATAATGATCAAACAAAGTTTTACTACCTCTAGTTTTAATAATTTCCAGATTGATTCCATTTGTAAAGATAATTATGCTTGTTCTGAATGCAAGAAACGAAAATTCTTGACCATTAATGTGCCCACAAAATAATAACTTAACTATTCGTTTGGACTTACCTCTAGCTTGGCACTGTTCTGAAATATAGTGAGGGCTTTGTGAGTAAGTTGAGCAAAGCACGAGCTGAGGGTTGCAATCTTCTGACGCGCGGAGAATACCACATCAGGATCTTCCGTTTCTAAGTCCGCTGAAACGTGCAATGTTCTTAATAAATTTCCTGTACAAATGCCACAAATTGCCAGATGATACTATTCACATATTTTCAGATAACATTAATGCAACTATTTTGGACTATATCCTCCTTTTTAAAATGGTAGAATATCAATTAAATGTGAAAAACAAGTTGAAAATAAAGAAAAACTGCAATGCATGCGACGTCAATGTTATGTGATTGAAGATTGTATCTTTGGATACGATGGAATTATTTGTTATATACAAAAATATCATACTTACATATAGAAGTATCTAGTTCGACACATGCTTTATCAAACTCCTTTTCTAATATATCTAGCCAACGAAAACCAACTCCGGTCGTCGCCATCTTCACAATAAAACTTGTTGTTGACAACAATTAACTGTCATTGTGACGTTGAAATTAACGTTCCGAAATCATCTTAGTTCATCAAATATTTCAAACGCCGTTCCTCGTTCTTTTTATACATTTTAGTGAAACAAAACTACTTAAATGTTCTGGAAAATCAACCACAGGAGCTTTATTATGAATAATATTTAATCAATTGTTTCAGCTTTAGACTTTATGAAGATTTCTAAAAGTATCCCTGACCTCGAACTTAAAGCAAGTTACTCATTACTTTAAGCAAAAAATCATTGGGTAAGAACAAATTATAAAAATAGTCATGAAGCATTTACCTACTGAAGATTTCAACAAAGGCAGTGTCCACAATTCTGTCTGTTGCCCAAAAGGTCTGCTTTATCGATTATACCCCACCTCGGTGAATCCTGCATCCTTATGCAAGTATTTCTGCTTTTCATCTAACAGATTCCAGCAACCCAATTCTCGGCTCTTCCTTATTAGAACAGGAAGGGATAGAGAAAAGACAACTGATATGAATTGAAATACTCTTCTCTGTCTAATTAGGTAATTTAAATTTAATATAAGGGGTAGAAATTAAAAAACGTCGTACTTGTAAGCCTAGTTTATTTTTTAATTGTATTACATAAATATAAAACTTCTATATATCCATATTTTCATTTTGTGATTTAATTTCTGAAAACTATATCTACCCAAGAACGAATTTAAACATATTACATCCAAATCACAGCTAGTTAAATTTTGAAGAATTCACAAGTTTATAGTTTCTTAGATTTATTTCAACCTGATATATGATATATATTTTTTTCTTTTTTTGTATGATATTCTATATCTTCCAACAAGATTATTTTAGTAACAATCAACATTAAGTCATAGTACAAGAAAGCGATGTATGGTAAATCTCATTTTTTAAATTTCTGCATGATTTGTTTTTGTTCACATGCTAACTGAATTTGTACCGTCAAAAATATATATCATAAATACCATGTTATATTTCTCTCTATAAAAAAGTGACAGGCAGTGGACAATCGAGATAAAATGAACAAGATGTAAAGGACCGATTTAATTCAAATATGACTAATTTAATCCAAAATATTTAATTTCTTTCATTTTGCATATTTGTATAAAAATAATCTCATGTTTTGTCAATTTGTGTAAACGGAGATGACAACTTTTATTGTTGATTATTGATCATATAAGGTCCCAAAAATCGAAAATTATTGCCATATCTAAATATTGGTGGTTTAGTAGAATATAAATAAGGGATTTTTTAGGAATACCTAGCATAGCGCGTGTACGCATTAAGCAAATTCTGCATAGATTTCGGGCAGCCTCGGATCACGGAGTTAATATGTTAAAAAATTGCGTCTGCTACACAAATCAAACCGCGAACTCTAAACACAACAAATGCCCATTCGTTCTATACAAAATTAGTGATCGCGACCACTTGCTTAATGCATAGAGGCATTTAAATTCAAACTATCTTAAATGCCTAGCTTAGGTATCAACGCTTCTAAATATTTATACATGATACAAAATATTTTATTGCATATTTATTACTAAATTGAATTTGTTCTTTACTAAATGTACTAAAGTAACTACCTAAAAATGCCATGAAATTTACTATAAGTACTTCAAATTCTTAATAGTAGCATTTTTAATTTGATTTTTATAGACTTTAGCAAGATCTTTACAATCTACCTCTATCTCCGGTATATAGAAGGGATACATTTACTCTTTTAAGGAATCTGTTATTTTACTGTATTAAATTATTTATAAATCCTAAAACATTAAATTTAAACATGTACATTGCTCAATATATTATGTGCAGTAGTGGAATATCCACTGAGGTAAGCCTTTTCAAGGCATACTAAGACTAACACTCTTAAAGCATTTTGCATTTAGCTGCATTTTGTGCTGGATAAAATTATTCAGTTTAAAAAACATTGCATATACCCACTGCATGATTTTATACAGCACATTACTCCACAATTGCACATACAGCCTCATGGTACCTTTAAATTAGTAATTATTATGAACACTTAATTTAACACATCAATAATATCTATGTAGAGAAATAAACATCACATGAATATGAAATATAAAAACAAGAATAAAAGCGAGTAAAGTTGTAAAAAAAGTGTTTCAAAAGAAAATTGTTTGAAAATCAAACCATTAAAACCCCTTACATTCATCTTAAATCAAACCTTACATAAATTAACAAATCAAACAATAATATTATCGTCATTCATTTGAAGGTACCATAAAGTTTTCTAGAAACATTTCACTTGCAACCACAACAGCCGTGCACAAACTTAAATATGTTTAAATCACTTTTACTTAAGTAGAAGCACAGTTTGTAAGCATAAAAATTTCATTAAGATATAATACACCCATTCTTTTCTTGTATATGTCCATCAGATCTTTCTATTTCTGATAACATTGCATGGAACATATCAGTTACTGACTGAAAAGAAAAAAAAAATCATTAATATTCAACTTTCATTATTATTTCAAAATTTTCATATATTCATATTACCTCATTTCGTTTTGCACTTGTTTCAACAAATGCTGCTTTCCATTTTTCTGCAAGTCTTTTCCCCTCTTCTGTACTTATCTTTCTTTCTAAGTGTAGATCTGTTTTATTTCCAACTAATACTATAGGTACACTAAAATTTACAAAAATAGTTCATGTAACTTAATAATAAAAGAGTTTGTCAGAAATCTCTTAAGAATCCTAAATTTCTAACAAACTTATTATATAAATGCTAATGAACTGGTGTTTTATTTCAATGTATTCAATCATCATCAAGCCAGATTGTATACAATCAACCCCTGGTTGCACATAAAACAAACTATACTAAATTTTGTTGTCATGTCATACTTACTGTATTTTTCCAACCATGTCAAGTAACTTGTCATAAATTATTTGCACTATTTGAAAACTCTTGCTGGAGGTGATGGAGTATACCAAAACATAGCCATGGAAGTCCATACTGTATTGCAAAGGGAAAATACTATATTCATCTTGACCAGCTGTGTCTACTAATTTAACTTCATACTCTGTTGAATTTAGCCGAATAAACTTTGTAAACGCTAAAATAAAAATAAAACACATTAATACATAGTTGTTACAAATAATTGAAGATTTAGTCAAATAAAATATTACATACTGTTCTCAATGGTAGGGTCATAAGAGTCAACGAACTGTCCCTCGACAAATTGAATAATAAGAGAAGATTTACCTGCAAATAAGTCTTATTAAAAGAACGTCACAAATGATAAATTAGACGCAAATTGATAATACTAATGTTACTTTACCAACAGATCGGTAACCCATCATAGCTATTTTTCTCTGCTTGGAAGGCATTTCAAATATGTTTAATTTAAAAACGACAATTGCAATTATTTCACACAGGAAGTATTGTAATAATAACACAATATCAACCACATTCACATTAAAAATGTCAAATATTTGACATTAAACTTTGATATTGTTTGACATTATTGACTTTGACACCAGAATTAAACGATCAGTGACATCAAAAAGCTTGTTTAAATCGGAACGAATCAAACGCAGTCAATTTTAAACAATTGGCTTTCTGTTAAATAAATGTATGCCTTTCCTTTAATGACCTCCACAAATGGATTGGTTTTAGGACGCAGTAATTTGCAGTTTTGATCATTCTATATAATCTTTAGTTTTGATATTTTAAAATCTGACAGTAACAATGACAATGACAGTGACAAATAGTTAAAAAGTATCTTATTCTTGTGAATGATTAATTTGTTGTGCATAAAACTATAAAATAGTAAGATATTTCTATACGATTACAAAGCTATTGTACCTTGATAATACAGGTATATTTTAGTTACAGTTTACGAAAACGTACCATATTGCGCGTTACTGTTTACGGAATGTATCTCTTTATCTTAATAGAGAAAAATGACTAATTAGTCACCATAATTATATCAACATATTATATTTTTAGCATTTATCTACATATTACATATACATCAGCTGTTCCAACATGCCTGTGACTATTCCCGATTGCCCGCCCAGCTTGAAATCTATACAACATTACTTAAAAACAGCTTCAGAACATGATGCTAGAGACCCTGTGGTGGCATACTGGTGTCGTTTACACGCTTTACAAGTTGGCATGAAGTTAACCAATAAGAAAACTCCAGAAGAAACAAAGATGTTAATGGGTAAGAATCATGTTTTAGTGGCGGTTTAGGAACATTTGTAAAAGATATACTGTTATCTATACACTGATCAAGCACCTTTAGTTTTATAATTAAGCTACAATATTCAGAAAAATCATAGCTGTGTCAAATTAAGTTACAAGCTTTGTAATCAGCACCTATATGAAAGTTTATTTAAGGTCTCATGGACTGGTTGGAGGAAGAAAAGACAACTCATAAAGATAATGAAGCTATAAGTAATGAAGTAGCGGCACAAGCTCATCTTGAAAATTATGCACTTAAACTGTTTATGTATGCAGACAAACAGGACAGGGAGCAGAACTATGGGAAGTGAGTATGTACTAGATTTGATTTGAGAAAACAAGAAGTTTTAAAGGCAGCAAGTAATTTACCATTGTAGATTCTATCCAAAGTTACATTTGTATCTTAAAAATGCACCTATTTTGTTTTAGAAATGTTGTCAAAGCATTTTATACATCTGGGATGATCTATGATGTCCTCACTACATTTGGTGAACTGACAGATGAGGCCGCACAGAACAGGAAGTATGCTAAGTGGAAGGCTGCTTATATACATAACTGTCTAAAGAATGGAGAAACACCAGTTCCAGGTAATATAATATTAAACCTGCAATTTTATAATTTTTATAAGGTTTTCCACAACATACACACCAATGCATTTATACAGGTAAATTAATATTGTTTTTCTGTTAAGTAATTCTTTCTGCACTTACAGGACCTCTTCCAGCAGAAGGGGAAACACCAAATGATGAGAACTCTGGAATAAATAACCAACCGGAACCCATGGGTTTTACCCCAAATCCTGGTTTTCAACCAGAACCTACCGGTTTTGCCCAAAATCCTGGTTTCAATCCACAAGTGACACCAGCTACTCCACCCATTATACCTACAAGTTTTAGCAGCACCTTACCCGATCCCAATGCAGCGCTGCGAGCAGCCTCTCAGCTGCCTCCAGTACCATACACACCTGATCCAAACCCCGGTGGCTTTGTACCATATGACCCATCACAACAAAGTCAGCCATCTCAGCCACTTTATGGTGATAATTCTTTAATGGTGGCACAATTGAGTCCCGATCAGATTGCAAAGGCCCAAAAGTACTGTAAATGGGCAAGCAGTGCTCTTAATTACGATGATGTTAAAACTGCAATCAATAATCTGAAGAATGCTCTAGAGTTGTTACAAACTGGACGAGATCCCGCTTAAGTCAATAAAGGGAATTGCAACATTTTATTATAATTGTTATGTTTATATATAAGTTGTGTTACATATTTTATTGATTCGCTCTTACTGAACCATTGTATCATTTTTTTAATGGTTAAGTTATAAGTATAACACAGATATATAAATGTAAATGCATATGATATTATGTGTAAGGAATATGTTATATAATGTGAAATTAACTTAAATGTACAATTATGCCTTTAAAATTGTGTTAAGTTTTCAAAACAAATATGAAAATGCTTTAATAAATAATTTACTGGTCTTAACATTGTTTAATTAATAAAAACAACATTGTAGGTTACCGGGAGGGAATATTAATCATAAAAAAATGAAAATCAGCTATTTACTTCATTTATTTCAAATTCATGTCACACACATCTCAAATTGTACAATCAATCAATCTTATGATCCTATTACACAGAGTAAGAAGCAAATTCAATATGGCTTCAGCTATAAACCATTTAATATTACTCTTGTTTATTCGCCTTATTTCTTGAAGAAAAAGAACAAACTATTTTCATCTAATTCAATTCCTGAGAAAGGTTCATTGGTTGGCAGTATATAGTACATATTATGTATAGAATATAATATTGTGCTAAAAATAATAGTCAAACTTCAAGTTAACGCCTGGGCATCACATAGGTTAAGCGTTTGCTTTCTGATTTGAATTAAGCATTTAAAAAGGAGAAACTAATGAGCGGTTATTAAGACAGCTATCTAAGAAATATTAATAAATAATAGTTCATATGCGTCTTTAAGGAGTAGTCGTAAACTACCTAAATTTTTAACATCTTAGCACGAATAGGCCGGCACGCCCGGTGTAATACCACGACCACACAGAAGACAGGCGTGAAATGGAAGCAATTCCGTGTTTCGTCTAATGAGTGTGGTGCCGAAGGCCTAATTTAAGTCCCTTTCTCTTTACCACCCTTTTCTTATAAGGAGAGGATGGGAAGGGGAAGTGGATTTGACAGAGGCGGAGATACATAGGAAGGGGAAATATCCTCTTTATGTGCATCTCCTCCTCTGTCGGATAAGAGTAAGCAACGCACCTGCAATTGCGGATGTCTATGGGCAACGGTCGCTTCGCCATTTTGGCGGATTCAGGTGGCCGCTTGCTTGTTTGCCACCTTTTGTTATAAAAAAAAACACAAATACAATGCTAATCTTATGCCTACTTTTAATTTTAGGTTGCTACAATATTGCCACCACTTACTAAGTAAAGTTCTGATTACTACTGAAGGTAGATCAACAAAGAAGTATCAAAACATTTATTCTATTGGAAATTCTTAGAGATAAAATGTGTTGTTTATTTTGATATTTAAAAGTACCTACAAATAGCTTCAGTATTACAAGGAATTTACTATCAATACACACAATTACAATTTAATTACATGTTTTGTTAATTGAGCAGTTTTATAGTGAATCGAGTTACATTTATCGCGATTTAATGTGCAAAAAATGTATTATCTACGTATTCTATGGCACACGATCACGTATACAACGCACATACAATATACGAATAAGTACCGCTTACTGCCTAAATATCACTTTAAAACTACAATACGCACGTATATGTGTAAACGTATAGAAACATTGGTAACACAATATAGTTGGTACAGTTGCGGAAATGCGCGGTGTCCCGTTTACAGAATAATTACCTTGTTCCTCGCAACTTGACAAACTCAGCTTCCAAAAAAATAACTATTAAGGTGGCAGTAACTAACGGTGTCATGATAACAAAAAGCTGTGTACTTACCGAGCTTTTTTCGTACAGACACATTTAGAAGGTGCATCTTATTGGTTATTTTTCCAAGTCGTCGATTCAATGGGTACAAAACGTTCAAGCTGTAGCTTTTAAGGTGGAACACCGCCAAATTCCCCGACTGTACTTAAGTGGTCTGCACATAACTGCGGTATCCTAACAAGCAGTGCAAATAAATCACAAACTATTGTGAGATGACTAGTTAAATCACAGTAGGGTATAATTATAATAACAAAAACAACAAATCTAACGATAAATATTTTGTGCTCGAATGACTAGATAGCAGTGCTATAATTATAAAAAACCTATGTAGATTATTAAGTGTAATCTTATATTTTGCACAAATCTCAGTCACGTTTGAGACCGTTGCCGTTTTGTGCGGTCGCGGCTTTCTCCAGGGCTTCGCGTCGACTGGTCTGATACCTGTAACAGACAATTTTAATATAAATTCATTAACAAAATGTGAACTGGATACCTTATAATTTATGCTATCTGTACCCGATACCGCATCATTAGCCCGCATGATTACGTCCTGCAGTTTGAAGTCAAAAACGCTATTTTCCATCTCTCAAAGATTTTTTGTAATTACTAGCATCTATAACCTTCCTAAATAAAATGGCTTTCATATACAAAAGTAACTCTTTAAAACTTTAGTTTCCGACATTAGCGCGATCAAACAAAAGCTGCTTAAAAGCTATAATAATTGCCCACATGTAAACTATATGAAAAATCTCGAAGGAATACGATAAATTTCCAAAAATCGTCTGGTTGCAAAAAGAACGGAAGATGAAATAAAACGCTGAAACAACTGTTTACATTGATTACATAGTTACATGTAATAAATACGGGAAGAAATCGAACTGCAAACAACGCAGCTAAAGATCAAATAAACAGCGCGTAATACAGTTCATAAATGTGAATATAGCTCGGAGCAATCAACGAGAATACGAATTCGCACGACAACGGGGTTGATTTCTGGCGGCAGGCCAGCGGTAGCGACGCTCCGACTCGACCGTGGGATACATCTAGTTTCGTAACTCATGTTTACATGCCGTAAAAACTGGTCAAGGTGCAAATAAACTGGTCACGAAGACACTACCCTGATCACAGATAAATCGAAATAAACGTAACAATTATTTTCTAGATATTGGCATAAATCCTACAATGTGATCACGTAGATCACTACTTCGTAATTTAAATTGCTTATAGAATTTTTTGAAGGACTAGCTGTCGCTCGCGACTTCATCCACGCAATATTAAGATAAAAAAGTAGCTTATAATGTGCCCAGTCTAGGTCAGTTACCCTTCAGTTAAAGTCCGGTCGAAATTGGCCCAGCCGTTTCAGAGATTACCAGGAAAAACGCGGTTTGCGGACAGTCCGACAATTTTTTTTAAATGCGACTTTTGACATGAATAACACAAATACATCTTCTTCCCGAAATCTGGAATTTTTCTTTTGATATTAAAGACACTCTAATTTTATTATATCTAGTATAGATGATAATAATATTCCGACAGTGGGCAAGCTCCCTTATAAAGAACAAAACATAAAAATTGATTTGAGCAATTGACGTCAATCTGCCCACCGCCGAGAAGTGCGAACAGCAGCTGTTTATAAAACATCAAATGCAGCTTTTATGAATCTATTTTTGTTATTTTCTTATGATTTATAATCAGTTTCAAAGCTATGTAGTCAACTAGAAAAACTTATCTCCGTGTTACATTGTGCAGCCTTCCCTTATGAGATTTTTCATTTGAGAAATAAATTATTTTGTTTGTTTATTTGATTATTTGTTTGATTAACATTAGAAACTACAAATGGATTTTGAAAAGTTTAATTTTTACTAAGTCTCTAATAAACTTGAAGTGTTTATTTCTTTTTCTTAGATGTCGTAAAAGAGTAAAGGCATTGTAAACCAAAATTTAATTAAAAATGCCGTCGTCTTGTAATTTATATATCGATGCGTAGGAATGTTGCTTTGCGCCAATAAAGGTATTTACGTGCCAACACCGCTGCGTGCGAAAAGCTCTCAATCTATCAACCTCAATATCCAATACAGTCTTCAGCAGACATTCTGTAGTTTTAAAGATCAGTAGAATTTAAAGTAAACTGAATTTACCATATTTGAAACTATTGGTAATTTTTTATTTAAAACCGACATATTTTTTTCATTTATTTAGCTACTAGCTGTTCCTCGCAACTTCGTCTGCGTGAAATTAAAAAATAATAAAAATATGGCCTATGTCACTCAGTGATAACGTAGCTTTTTAAAGATGATAGAATTTACATCGGCCCAGTAGTTTTTTAGTTATTTCAATACATACCAAAAAAATACAAATCTTTCCTCTTTATAACATTTGTATAGATGAAACACATGGCTGTAAACGAGAATTTAAAATGTTTTCCATAACAATGAACACAAAATACTGACCAAACGACAAGCCGACCACTGAGCATGAAGAAGAAGACGAGAGCGGGTGCGCAGCGGTCGAAGGGGTCCCCCACCATCACGTGCGAGTAAGCAGCCAGCATCATCAGCAGCACTAGTCCGATATTGGCAGCATTCTTTATTTTATCTGCAATAGCACCAAATAAGAACTTACTGCGACTTTCAATATATAATTACTAAAACTTAAGCACCACCTTAGTGTAGATTTTTCATGCCAAGGAACACAAAGGAATTCTCTAGTAAGTACTCTGTGGAAAATATTCTCACTATGATCTTTATATGTTTACAATTATCATCATCATTTAAAAATAATTTAAAAAGATATTTCCTAATTAAATAAAGTAGCAACTTGTTCTGACTTTATTATAATAATAAACTATAATATAGATTATTTAGCAAAACACATGGATAAGGAGCTTTCTATAATTTTTTTAAATCAGTACTTTTTTTTGATTAATTTATAGAAAACTAGCACTACACAAAACTAGCGTTTGACATACATACGCTTGAAATAAAACACAACTGCAAATGTTTTCTTTGCTTTGATTGATCAAATAAATAAATATCAGTACAATATAAGCAATAGCTAGCGGATGTACCACCCACGTCTTACGTCGGTCAATCTTCACTGATTAAATAAATTGCGCTGATATTTTAATAAACAATGTTTGGGACAACATTTTACTAATCTTACTAATTTCATAAATGCGAAAGTTTAGATGAATGGATGTTTGTTAGAGTTTGTAGCCTAACCGTTGAACGGAACTGGATGAAATTTGGCACAGACGTAGAGGATAGTCTTGAAGAACACATAGGCTACTCTCTTTTTCTTTAATACCACGCGGACACAGCCGCGGGCGAAAGCAGATAGTTTGACTTAAATGTCTAAGTCTGAAGAAACTCATTAATTAACTTTTTATACCCGTATAAAATACTCTAAGTTTGAAAAAAAAGCAAAAAATCACACTGTCGTAATCTTATCAAAACGTAATGCTGCATCAGCACATAGTTTGTTGCATTAAGATAAATGTTCCGTAAAAAAAAAAAAACTACCAAACCTCGTAATACGTGAATAGATAAATAAATATAGCTATAATAAACAAGCTTTGCTAGCGTAGACAATATTTTGGGCGATGTGTTAACTGCAGAGCTTGTTATAACAAAAGCTCCGCACAAACAATAATACTGGCGGGCATTGTAAACTTTTTCCAGACAGTTTAACGACCACTTTAATGGTTTACAGCAAAACGTAACCATCAACATTCGACGTTAATAAACTAATGTTGGTCTATAAAAATGTCCGACTAGAGTACTAAAACGAATTGTTCGTAATTTTCTCCGGAAATGAATTAAACAAAATGTAAAAAGGACAATTGGATATGAACATTGACACATAAATAGGACTGAAAAACCTAAGTAAACCTACGTATGAAATTAACAGAGTCTTTATTATTTAAGAGTAAAATCTCAATAACTTTAAACCCATCGATCGTATTTACACACATATTCTTTTTAGCATTACATTTTATAGATAACAACTTTCGGCTGCGACTTCGCCCGCGTGAAATAAAAAAAAATAGTGAATGGCCTATACGAAATTTCACCCAAATCCGTTCGACCGTTTTGGCTACAAACTCTTAACAAACATCCATAATCCATCCATCCATCTAAACTTTCACATTTATAATATTAGTATGAAGTATGATTTAAAGTTGTATATCCATTCTCCTATTTCGCTATCATTGAATCCGTCAATAATGCGTTATAGTTTGAACGTAAACATAACGCAGGGATCGAGTACGAGTAGACAAGAGCAGGTGGCAACCGTTTTCCACTTGTGGAAATTATTAATTGCAAATATTGTACAAGAAACACATGTGGCACATTGTTATACAGACGCACAGGTGGCAAGTGACTTAAAAATATAGCCGAATAGCTTTCGCCCGCGACTCCGTTCACGTAGTATTAAAAAACACAAATAGCCTAAGTTTTCTTCCAGACTATGCTCTACATCTCTATCAAATTTCATTCAGATCCGTTAAGCCGTTTAGGCTACAAGCTCTAACAAACATCCATCCATCTAAACTTTGGCATTTATAATAGTAAGGTAATGTTAACTATAAGTACTAACATGTTTTAAATAAAATGTTCTAGATATAGATAATAATACTTTTACTGATGTTTACCGTATAGACACAGTTGCAAAGTTACTATTATTTTATGTTAATTATGGCTGATTTTCTATTGGAACGTTTTATTCGCATTAGTTGCATACCACACTGTACAATAAAAATATATTCAGATTTTTACAATTTCCGAAACACCGGTATAATACATATCGTTATCCTTATTCTCCCTTAAAACAGAGATGAGCAATTGAAACTCAGTGTATGTATATTCGTGTACTTACGACTGGGTATGAGGGCTAAACATAATCCGAAGAATATCTCAAGTCCGCCGACCGTTCTTCTGTACCATTTTGATGGTACTTTAAAGTCTAACATCTCAGTTAATGGGAAAACTTTAGCGTATCTCACATATTCTTTTCTCTGAAACAATGTATTTTTTATAAGACAGGTGCTATTAAGCATTTTCAATTTATGTGTTTCGTAATTATAATTTTATTTATGTATCTATCTGTTTGTTATCAATATCAATAGTGAAAAACTTTTAACTCTCTCATATATTGATATTATTTTTATGAGAGTAGAAATATTTTTTATCAATATGTAGAGTATGTTTATTATAATAAAAATTTACATCGTTCGCCAGTGATATCGTCATTCTGAGACATCTCCACGTTGGCATTAGGCGGCAAGCCAAATACTAAAATAGCTGAGCACATCGCTCCGCAACAAAATTCTTAATGCACTCGTCGACCTTTTCATTTTTTAATGGAAAAACAATATATAAAAATGCACTTACCAAATCTTTATGTAATTCTTTTGAAATCACCGGGGTCAGCTTTGTCGTACCAACAAAAATAAAGAAGATTCCTAACAGAATTGATAAACTTTTCAACACGATCGAACCCATTTTCAATTAACCTTTTTGAATCACTAGCGCACAATTTCACACCTGCATTTGTATAAATATATTTTCACAGTAGTATTACACATGTAACAACTCATCAGACTTTAGAAATTAAACTAATCTAGTGTTCAGTTTTCTTATATTATATGCACTCAGTCATAATTATTAAAATTATTAGTAAGCTTCGGTGAAACTATCAGGAAGCCGAGGGGTAAACGATTCGCGCCGGCGCGAAAAAATCTATAATTTGTTTTTTAAATATCAAACACGTCACCCCTTTTTAGTTGGTTTGACATCTTGCAATTTGGCCACTACTGTCATTTATATCATACATACTCTTTGATTCGTATTTATACTAAAGAAAAAACAAGACAATTTTATTCCAATGTTTTAATTATTTCACTATAAATACACCTAACCAGTTCCACGTTTTTCGTTAGAGCTTCCTGTTTTTCATCAACACGATGAATACATTTTGGTTGCCTATAGTAAAGTATTGGAGTTCATTTCGGTTTATTTGACGACAAACCATTTATTCTTTTCATTCCAACCAGTTTGTAATATTTTTATTGCTTATATGCATATATTTTACTTAAAAAATTACTTTTCTAACCCTACAGAGCCCAACAATTTCTTAAACCAATTGTTATACCCAAATAATCTAAATAATATGCATATACATTATTATATGTTGCCATAATATGGAAATAAAAAATCTATATGATCTGTAAAAGGGCTAATTCTTTCCTTATTTCAAGTATAGATCAACAGTTATATGAACCAGTGGGCACAAGAGAAACTAAATTGTGATAGCTCACACTAGTGAGCTATCACAATTTAGTTTGTACTAGGTACTAGCCTAGTCTACTAGTGCACTCCTTTTATACCACAACATATCTCCATTTTGGTTTATAATACAGTTATGACACAATAATTCCATAGCATCAACTCACTCTCTCACCACTCACCAGACATTCTTGTTTCATTCTACTATCAATGAATATTTGTCCATTGACACACCCCATATAAATAACACAAGGTCACATCCCATAATAAAGTGTCATTTAATTATCAGTTAGTAAATGGTGTAACAAGTTCAGAAATTAAGTTTGAAAATGAGGACAAAAGAATTTTTTATTTAATCATAATTAATTTTGATAATACTATTTTATTACATTATAACTATGTTATCCGATAATAATCCCTCATTTGTGAAAAAAATTTTGTATTCTTCCATAAAATCAGAACAACCACATAATAACACTTGATCTTTGGTTGTAAAAGGTTTCAAATTTACCAAATCTGCACATTTTAGTTTAAAATTAATTATAGGTTCTTGATATTTAGTATTTTTGTAGTCGGAAGAACTAAGAAAAACTTTATAAGAGAAATTCCAAAAAGATTTAAAATTATACAGCTCATTTCTAAACAATATCACATCTAAAGAAGAACAACAATAAACCAGAAACATCCTAGTCATATCATCTTCATTGCTCAATATACTATCTATTATCGAAACAAATGGTGCTATGCCTGTACCTTGAGCTAACATAATTATTCTGCTAAATTTATTAGGCATTATTTTATATGAGCCGTAAGGCCCACGCCATAAAGTTTCTTCACCCTCTTGCAAACTGTATAGGTATTTTGAAACTAAACCAGAATTATAATGTTTTAAAACTATAGAAAAATCAAATCCTAATTTATAACTTTCTTTTAATTTTATAGGTGTATAAGCACGTGTACACACTGCGTTATCAGAGCAATATTTAACTAAAAAATGATCTCCTGGGTTCCATTGTACTTGATACTTAATTTTTTCCTGGTTTAACCTTTTAAATGTTATTAGCTTATGTGAATCACATATCGTCTTAATTTCATGTACAAAAAACGTAGTATACTCTAATTGCGATATCCCATTGTCTGTTCTTTCAGGTATATCATTTTGTGACAAAAATAATTCATAGTCTCGTAATTGTTTTTCATAAACATCAAATATACAAGGATTGCAACCACTATTACAACAATCTTCTTTCCTTGGCTCTACGGGCTGCTTCATTGTAAGACATCAATTGTTCTTCTTTTTCGTTTAGATTATAGTGAACATAATTAAACTAAAATAACAAATTGGTTTAAACAAATTATATGTAAGTACAGCAAATATAAATTAACTTTTGACTTTTGACATATGTATGACAGTTGACAATAGATGTAGATAAAACAAATGAGATTAGCCAAGATTCTGTTGAAACCCGAAATGTTAATTAAATTAATTACTACTTAACTATAAAGTAATGTCAATAAGTTAATCATCAAAAATGTGTTGTGTTTTCGTGTTTCGAAAGTTCACATGACCACGCACGGTCATTTGAACTTTCTCTTAATGTGCAATAATTTTGGACGAATATTGACAGAAAACTGAATTACAGCGTATTTTTTTTAAAATGATGTAATAATAAGTAATTCGTTTTAGCATTTACTATTTGTCCACACCGTCCCATTAGAGGGTAAATGTATTCCGCTTTACTCCAAGAATCATATTATTCAGATAAGTTATTTTAGTGTTTTATCTTAATTTGAACTGTGACAGTTTCAATATAATAAGATCTTTAACAGGATCTTTAGAATACAAATAGAAATTATTACCACCAAAAAGCATAGAGACATAAAAATACTTATAAACATTTTTAAATACTTCAATAGAAAAGAAACGAAGAATTTTTAGATTCTTAATTTTCAATGTTTTTTTTAATCAACATAGCTTGGAATAAAATAATTAAAAATTATGCTAATCATTAACTATATTTTAATTTCTACGTGGAAATGAAATAACTACAAGTATTTATTTGTATTTTTACCTGGGACAATATTGATAACATTTTAAATCTAAGACATTAGCGCCCTCTAAACTGACGCTTGCTAAACGCCGGTTAACGCTCGTTCAGCAATCATCACAGCCCGCCATAATATTCTTGTAGGGCAATTGGATTTTGGCTTGGCTGTAAACAATTCTGTAAGTATCACAATCTAATACATTTTTCTTTTTTTGTAGTATGTTTCAATTCATTCTTTATTAATTATTACATTTTTACGTACTTACATTGGCGTATTTACGCATAGAAATGTTAATAATTACCTAATGGCAGACTCCATTATATCGGCTTTGTACTCGTCGATATACTTGTAGATCTATTTTAGTTTTAGTTGCAAAAGGGTGCTATAGGTACAAAAAAAAAGCTTTTCTTTTCTAAAAATAATAAGTTGCAATTCATTCACATTTGCGATAGTTTTGTACATAAAAACTAAGAGAGATATTTACTCCAAGCCAAGCGTCCTGGTTTAGGCTATTTACTTAGCTTCATTTGTTTTCTTTGTTTATCTTTAATATTTTTGTTTTTAGTAACATAAATCTGTTTATCACATTCGTATTTTTAATATATGAAATAACTACAAAAAATAAAAGCTTCCTTCTTGTGCCGCCGACAATGAACGCCCGAATGTCGTGAAATATGTTATAATATTTATTACGTTTTTTCAGAACTTTCAGTTTACAAATCCCTTTACCATAATGTCTGACGATGGATCAACAGTCGTTGAAAAGAAAGGGCGCGGCAGACCAAAAGCCAATGGAACTCAAGCTGTAAGTGTGATTTAAAAGCAGTCTTATTAAAAATGATTTCAATGAAATAATAATACTTATATCATTTAGGAATCTAAAGCTGATACTAAAAAGCGAGGCAGGCCAGCGGCACCACCAGCGAAGACGAAGGAATCAAAAAATTCATCTGACGATGAGCAGGCACCGGCAGTAAAGAGGGGCAGAGGGAGGCCTAAAGGATCTAAAAAGAGTGCTCCTGCCTCTAAAGCTAAGGTAATATACAGCAAGAAAGTCTTGAACACTAATTAAATTACATTTATTGATTGTCTAAATATTTTAGGGTGGATCTGGCGAAGGACGAGGTAGGGGCAGGCCACGTAAAGAAGCCCCTCCACCGAAAAAAGATGCAGCTTCTACTGAGGAGGAACAAGATGAAGATGAAGAAGATGAGGGATCTGACCAATAAATGAGTCTTCTCTGACAACTATCGATCTTAGCGTAATTTGTTTGTCATGATAACTTTGCAAGTCTGCTACCACATAAACAATTTAATAAAAATATTTACATTAACGCATACAGTTGTAGAGCGTCTGATAGCAGCATTGGAGGTTATCTTGACATTACAAAAGTCTCAATTGAGATTGTGCTCCCAGAATTTAATCAAGTGGAATTATTAAATATTTTGAAATGTAAGATAATTAGCTGCTTTAAGAAGAAATTCTTTTTTGTGATTCTATTGCATTTACTTTTGTACCAGAAAAAAAAAGGTTCCACATAATTAAATTTTGGGTTGACTTAGCTCTCCCTAGAAACGTACAAGTTTAAGATATAATTTTTAAGATCATTTTGTAGATTCTATTCTAATAGGTATTTTGTAATCTCTTGATTTATATTATAAGAAATTTAATAATACAGTTTTGTGGACTTGTCCATGTGACATGAACATCAAGTATTATTTTCTATAATAAATATTTTCATTTCCATTTAGTTATTTTTTTTCCCTTTTATATAACAAAAGACTTAAGAGTATTACTGTCACTAAGTTGTGCCATTTGTATCACTTGTGTTTGGAGCAAATTGAACGCATTTTTTGTTACAATTATTGTGTGTGTGTGAATGTTAAATTTTAGAATTAAACATATACGAAATGAAATTTTTTATTACTTTACCTTTACGTTTTTGGAGTTATTTTTACAATACAAATATTTTGTTTTACAAAATATGTAAGTAGGTCATGTTAATGTTAAAATCAAAAACTACTCTACCATAATTGTAAATCTATCCAAAATCTGAAAAGAAAAGGTAAGAATGATTGCCTTATTTAATTTTTTTGCCAATATTTATTTTAATCAAACGCACCTTTTTGTGGTTTAGGTTTTAATGGTATAAAATCTAACCACTGAATGAATATGTTTCTTATTCAAGGAGCTTTGACGAATTTAAGTTTGTAAACCATAACAAAATTAAATGATGATATGAATTAAATGAAATACCTATCTAAAACAATATGCAAGGGCCATGAAGGTATAGTGGTAGTGGTTTGAGGGCAGCGTAAGGTTTTAAGATGAAACATAATAATTTTAATAACATTAATTCATTTCATTAATTTTCCTTTGGGTAATTCAATACATCAAACATTATTTTTAAGTACTTAATCAGTGTGTCAAAAATTTTCAAGCGTGGCTGTACGTCATTAATGCTTAGACTTTTGACAAGTTGTAGAAAAAAAATGTCTACTCGTTTTCCGTTGTGCAAGTCAAGTTTTGATAACTGACTTGCGTCAGGCGGGTTGCTTTTAGCGTTGTGCGTTATTTCGTCGGAGAAAAAGTAGTGCTGAAACATATAATTTTTAATAATTAGCAATGTTCGTTATAGTTTTATTTTGTGAATTTGATAAAAGATAATTGACAACGCTAGTGAACTGTTTCGTTGCAATTTTGTCTTTTGCGTGGCTTATAAAAGTTTTCAAGTTGGTCACTTCGAAGTTTTATAAGTGCTTGTTTACTGTTTTTGTGTTCTTAAAGTTTTTGGCTGCTTTTAACTTTGTATTGCGTTATCTAGAAGGTTAGTAATTTCCACATATTTGTTTCTCATTTACTTTACATCTTTCTTATACTTGTTTATAGAAAACCCCGTACGTGACACAAGCAGGTAATGCAACATTGTGAATGAATTTATTGCAGCTAATATCATTCCGAACCTCCAACAATTATATTAAGCAGGAATTTAAAACATAATAAATTTGTTCACATTATTTTTTAATGTTCTTTTTAAAGTTATAAAAACAAAGCATGTTGTAAGCAATACACTAATTATGTTTATTTTGCCAATCAATTTAATTAGTCTTAGTATATAAAAATGTTGTGCACTAAATGCAGTTTGAAAAAAAATTATAATAAGATGAGTCATGAGTAGGTAAACAATAATATTTATTATTTTGCATATGGTATTTCATCTTTATATAAAATAATTTTACATGGTACAGACAATTGTCAAGGAATCAATGAGTTTCAGACATGAAAATTTACACTTGTTCCTGGGCAAATATTTTTCACACATTAAACTACTTGTGATATTTTCAACAACATCTTGGTTTTCTATGGATTGTAATAATGTGGAATGTGGATTACAAGTTGATTATTTTTTATGGATAGATGGATTAATAGATGCCCAAGTTAATATCAGTTTATAATAATGTCTAGTGAAAGTATAAAACAAATCAACTGTATGAAATTAGTGAATAAAATGAGGGTGTGATTGTTAAAGAACTAGCAGACATTTTTGTAGAAAATTATAAAAATGCACCCACATTTTTGTTAAAACTTATTGTAAGTATAGCCAACTTGTTATTCGGAAAAATATAGCATTCTAGCAATGAAAGAAGAATTTCAGAATCGGGCCCAGTTGTTTTTTACTTTATTAATTACAAATATACATAAGTAAGCCTATTATTATTTCATAATAAGGAAATCTCATTATTATTGTAAACAAAGATTAAAAAAAGATTTAACATCAAATGGATTTTTTATATAAAATTGTATGATTTTGTTTTATATGTGACTTTAGCAATATTATTACCATCCATGGTAACCATTTTGTTTTTTTTTAATTTAAATTCACTTTTAAGTATCCTTAAATCCATATCCGTAAAAAATAAAATAACTTTAATCAAGTAAATAATGTTTGAGACACTGATTTTTCTGGCATGCGTTACATCTTGTAACATATAAACTAAAATTGTAATCTGATACGTAAAATCATAAAGCAAACCTTTGATTTTCAACGCATTCAAGCATCCTTAGAAAACTGTACTAAAGATTAATCATAATCTAAATAATAGTTCAAGTTTAAAATGGTTAAAATGAATCTCATCATTAACACCTGAAGCTTGTTTACTGTCTGTTCCATCACTGGGTACAAAATTTGTCAATGGGAGATCAAAATGTGTTTGTAGTTCATATATCAATAAGGGATTATTGTTTCGTTTGTGTGTATTGCCGCGGCCCCTCTGCGGCCCCAGTCGTGACACGTGCCATCGCAGTATGGCACATTTGCCATACGCGGCCGTCGATCGGCGTGTACGAGTGTTTATTGAATGACTATATACCATCGACGGGGCTCGCATTCTAATAGCTTTTGTACGGAGTACATGCAGCGTGAATCATTTCGATTTACCATAAAGCACCTTGTGTGATTTGTAATAGAGTCCTTGTTAGGTGACTAGGTGATGGACATAATAATTGTGTGTTACTGGCTGTTGCCTCTACTTGGACGTGATTATATTTATGAAATCTTGACTAATACTATAAAAAAATTTCTATCGATTTTAGTTCACTGTTGGTTGAAACTGAACCGCATTAGTTACATCCCAATTCGACCTTATTCACGTTGTGTTAACGGTTCATAAAACTGATTAAATGAAAAACAAAGCCAACATAATTTGATGGAATGATTCACGAAAGTACTTTAAAGTTCTTTCAACGCATGCCGATATCAATGAATCTGGTTTATTTCAATTAAGAATCAATGTAACGAAAAAATAACAGTTGTGAAATGTATTTGTACCACAAACTATACCCTTCAAATGATTGAATGTCTTTATTGGCATAGACATATATGTACATTCTTTGTCACACATTTACGATGGTGTAATGTAAGTAGTAAATAATTTTATTAACACGTTACGTAGTTGAAAATTGTTCATGTACTCAAGAGTTGCTAAAATCACAAAGTAATCTGTAGGATCTAACATGGTTGTATACCAACAGATTCAATGATTCTGCCCCCACCATTAGGTCGTTGCCTCAGTGAGTCACGATTGCACGAATGGCCGTCATAGGTACAGTCATTATGAGTGCGTATACGTATCATTCTAATTTTTATTGCCATCCTTATTGATTAATTTGTCACTCCGAGATAACAGTGTAATGAAATAGAAATCCCGGGTGAAATAAAAGCAACGCACTCTTCACCTTCTAGTTATCCGTATTTCTAGTTAGAATACGGCTTCCTTCGAACTGGAACGCATTAGCTTGGCATAATATGTATTGTTTCATCCAGTGTCACTTGAAATAATATTACATGGTTAATTTAAATTTTCAGTATGCTATCTAAACCTAATAAAAACTACTCATCATTCTAAATGAGATGCTTTTTATTAAATGTATTCATCAATGATTTTGGCGATACCGGGAATCTTTCGATACCGTATAAGTGTATAGACATACTAGTAGTGTGTATCTATAGATAACATCACTATTGTTCTGATGATATTAAAGCATTATTTTTAGTAACGTCTGTGTGTCCTACCTCAAACTAATAGTTGGTAGAATAGAAATAATAAAATCGTAAATGATTGTATTAGGAAGTTATCAATGTGTGGTAGCATTTACCGAGGCCTCACCTTCACACGTCAATCGAATTATGTGCCTTTATCGTTCCCCGACGTTTATTTTCACTGATATAAATAGTATCATTACAATCACTTATCAGTTTTTCATAAATTGATAATCGTTATGATGCATTCGTGTTTTATGCGTGAATGGAAATGCCATCAAACTTATCGCAATGCAGTTGCTGAAACGCCCCTTTTCCGTTTTATGTGGACAGATATATTTGAATTTAATACCGTTTTTAATAACATGTTCAGTAAAACATTAAATCACTTTATTTTTTTTTTGTTTATTTATTTAAGTTACAGTCCAAAGTAAATATGTATAACGTAACGACAGCTAAAATAAAACATACAATGCGATTATCGCCCTTACCATAAACAACCTCTTTCTTAACTTTCTCCGTCACTGTCTATTAGAGAAACTGCGTAATCATCTAAGTGCCTTGTTATATAAGCATGTTTCCCCTTTATACACGACCATCGCTGATGCATTACCACATCAATTGGAGACACACTCATTGGCGTGTATTGTAATTCGTATGTTATTTTGTTACAGATAGCATGGCGTAGACACTACAGCTACACTTCTGCTGTCAAAACTGTTTCGCATCTTACTTTCGAAGGTAAATTGAAAATATTAGTAGCGTGCATGTACGAAATTATTAGTTACTAATGAACCAAAGGAATAGATATGATGACCGCTAAAATAATTAATTAAAATTAAAAAAAAGTAACTTGTTCGGTAGCTTTTGTAAGAAAAGAAGTGAACTAAAAGTTAATTTTGATTTCAATTGAAATCTTGATAGACCATTAGCGTTTATCTGAAAGCGATGTTAATAGGCAGCGGTAAGCGGATATTCATCTTCACTGGGTCACAGTTGGTCTACGTCCTGAATTTTTAAGCACACCATCAAGGTGGCGGTGGCGTCTCGACTTGTGAGCGCTTTTCTCTCGCTGATTGCGTCTTTATACTTTCCCATGGCGATTCACGCGGGTAACATTGCGCTAGCAGCTGCCGGCGCTTGCTTACTTACAAGTAAGCACTCAAAGGAAACTAGCACCTTTGTGCAGTCCTTAAGACTTGTGCCATCTGTATTAATGGATATAATGTAAGGTGGAATCTTCTATGGTTTTGTAATTCAAAGTCGCTATTACAATGTCTTTGACTAAAGTACAATCCAAATTTCCTATTTAAATATCTGTAAATAATCTATTGATGATCTTCTCTTTTTACGAGTAATAAATTGTATGATTTGTACAATTTTTTTAATTTTAAATTCTTTAATTAACCTTAAAATGACTAGATCTAGTCATCGTTGAAGAAGACTTTCACGTGACCACGATAATTACGACCAGTTTGTAACTTGTTGCTCCATCAGAAGTAAATTGGATGTATTGATGCAATGAATGATATCCGCGCTGCTTCCAAAATAACTGCCGGAAAGTGGATTTATCGATCGCACATGCCTGACAAGAATATCTAGAAAAAATGTGGAACGGTTACTTTCATTTATTAATTCAGCGATATGAGACATGATTACATTTCTTAATTATAGAGTTAACGGAGGCGTATTGACGTCTTTTGCAACAATATTTTTGAAATAGACATTATACCGCATATACATAGAAAGTGTACGCGTTACCATGGTTTTGTATGTCCTTCCTCATTGATATACCTATGTGAATGTTTGTGTAAGAGTACTTAATATAATGAGTATTTGTAATATTCAATGTGCATAAGACAATTAGTTGTCACCGTACGGTCGCTCGGGCACAATGACCGTGGAGCGCAATGAGGGACTGCAGCGTGGCGCAGTACGCATCACCACAGTCGATTGCTCCTAATTCAATTACTGCAAGTGGAACGCGTCTGGCACGCACCAGTCGTCCCGCCCGCCCCACAAACCCCTCTCGAACTCTAAACTAACACGATCATTTTACGTAACGATAACACACATCTTTGCGTGGAAAACGCCGGAAAGGCGAGAGTACATGGCGGGAATGTTGTAATAAATCGGCGAGAACTTTTTATTTGACTTTGGTACGGCTGCGCGATCTTTGCCTCGCCTCGCGTTGTCCGCTGGAATGCCGCACTCAGAGACGCGCTTGTTTAGGTTAGAGGTGATTTAAAGAGTCATGTGATGCCTTTATTTATATTATATGTCTTATATTATCGTTTTCTTATCCAGAAAATCTTTGATATGAATTGTATTAATAATATAAATAGTGTTAATTAGGCAAAGGTTGTTATCCTCTATTTAAGCCAAATACATTTATCATTAAGTCACAACCTCGTTGAACTGGAACCCCAGTTAACGAAAACGGACATTAACCCTAGATGATATTTAATAAATTTCTATGTGATATGAAAAGCTGTCAGCTATATTTAATTCTTATTGATTTTGCATACAGTTTGTTTGGCTTAGAAAGTTTCAAGGCAAAGTCAACTAGATCACGACGATAGTAGGAAAGGACACAAAAAAATCTTTCGGAGATAATGTTACAATGGAAACTAACACCTTATTACACGCGAACGTGAGGTTTCGTTACAAGCTACAATTGAATATTGAAACAAACGAACAAATTATTTACGTTCAAACGTTTTATAACAGACTTGCAAAACATATTTGGTAAACAATGGCTTGTAATGCCATTACGTTTCGTATGAACATCGATTTTGTAAGACCCGTATTGTTCGAAGAAACTGCTTTATATCGAAGATTGGTCTATTATGAATAATTACATGGATTACCATATAATTGAAAATGTGCATTACATTTTAAGGGAATCTAAAGAACTTAAAGGTGAAGATGTAAGTCCGTTGGCTAAAAATGAGAACTGATTTGTATGCGAGGTCGAGGTTCAGTTTGGGAGCGAGCCTGCGTGAGGAGGAACCTTTCCCGGCGCTCGGCACAGCCCGTGCCAGGCCCCGGCCACCCCTGCCACGGCCCAGTGGTCGATATAACGACCTTATTTTTATGAATGCAAGTATGACATGCCGGCACATAGCGTTCACCCAATTGAAAATATTAACTTTCCTAGTAGCAAGATTTTCTCTTTTCTTAAGATTGCTATTTGTAAACCCATGTGACTGTGACGTTATGCCGTCTTGGTAAATTATTTGTACATACATTGTAAAGCTTCTCGTTCTAAAAGTTGTCGTATGAAAATTGTTCTAGACGACGTAACTTATGAAGAAGTCGTACCGGCTTTAAAACCCATCATGAGAGCTTGTAATATTGACGACAGGTCGTCGAACTCTACATCATTATCGAGTTGTAAAAGTGTTGAGTATTTTTTGATTTGACATTTGGTAAGGAGTGGAAACGGTTACGACGCGGTCCCGTTTTCGTCGAGAGTGAACGCCGATGGTCACGGTCATTCGGTGTGCGAGTAGCGATTTACCGGCGTCATACTTTTATCGAGACATGACCGCGGCCGCATGCCAACCCGGCGGGCTCTCTCTGACGCGCCGGAACGAAACCCGATTGCTAACTACTCATGCCCTACTATCACTCGCCAGACAGACGACTCTCTAAATCACAGATAGTATATCGCGGAACACCGCTCTCCGAAACTATTTTTTTAATTCGACACCAACAATATCAAGTTGCTGACTATTCTGTGTCTCATATCAATTTCATGTTTTTGTTTTTGTATAATATACAAATGTGATGTCTAATGTTACAATTTTAACCAATTTACATGCATGGTATTGGCAAGTATAGTGCAAAAAAGCAGCTTTCTTCTACAGATTTTGCTCATAGGATGTAATTTTAAGTGTATATGTAAGATTATATGATGTTACTTTGAAGTATTTAATTGTTAAAAAAACTTCTTTTATGAAAAAATAACAACGGATTGGTATCGGTATTTAAAGTTTTGTATAAAGTTTACCGGTAGAGGCTGCAGGCGCGCGCCTTCCCCGTGACTCATGTCGTACCTCGCTCCTCGCTCAGTGCCTTTTGCATTCCATTTGTCAACACAATGCAGCCGTTTTGCTGTGCGGTGTGCGGTGTGCGGTGCGTCTAGGAAATTAATAAGTTTTATTCAAATGATCATCCACGGTAAAATGTTAGAGATTTTATTTTATTTCGAGCATTTTCCATGTTTCCCATTAAAATGAAAGATGATTAAAAAATTCCAATTTGTATCGTATTTCAAATTTTTGACTATTTCGATATTTGATTATTATGTATGAGTTTCCTATGAGATACAAAGATAACCGAATTCTGAAAATGTAGCCTAAAAAGTCTGAACATCTGTTGAAACGATCGTCTTGAACCACACGAGCCGGTTTCTTTAATATTTAACAGTCAGAGATAAGGTTTGTTCACACGAAGCCTGCGACAAGCAAGTGTCTCGACTGCGAATACTGCGTGACGGAGTAACTGTTTCGTTTTATAACATGGGAGGTTTGCAGTAGAAACCGAGTTCTCAGAGCCGGGCGCGAGCATCGACCGAATCGCGAACGACCGCACCGGGTTACACGACTCCCGTAACCCGAGCCAGCTGAGCGCGGCTGTGTGAATGGACCAAAGTAGGTGGAGAGTGGCAAGCAAAGTCTGCACCAAACCGCTACAAACGCTCAACTATTACATTTATCCATGATCTGCAATATAAATAACCTGTGTTTAACGAATGTGCTATATGTATGATTTTCAAACCGTAATTGAATTAAAGTTAACGTAGTTTATTAGTCTGTCAGAATGGAACTAGTTTTATTCTTATATATTAAAAAAGTATTACACCCTTTATGCTCTTTTACAAAAAAAAAATATGATTTGATTTCTGCTTGTAAAGAAGTGTGATGATTTTTTAAATGGAGTGTTGTGAGTGTTTAGATTTGATGTTTAACTAGTCTTTTTTTAGATAAACACACAGCTGCGTTTCTTTCTCGCTTCGTTGGTCAAATACATACATTAAGAAATATTCCTATTACTTTCACTATCGCATCTATATGATAATTTAACTTAGATATTTATAATTATCCGTGTGAAAACTTAATAAGCATGGAATTGTTATAGCTATTATTATTATTTGTTAAAATGCCGTGAGAAAAAGGTATTTTAGAAGCACTTGTAGGAAGTATGATTTCGTAGAGTAAAAGTTATTTTTATTAGGCACTTGTGAAAAGAGCAACGATTAGGCACGCCGAAAGCTTGAGTATTTACCAAATGCCAATCGTGGTGTGAATAGGAGAGTTGTAGAGTGGCAGTGGGGCGCCCGCGCCGGTGCCTACACTTGTTCCGCCCCTATGCACTTGTCGGGGGTCGTTGTTTTTGCGCCGGCACTATTATATCAACACCGTATGTTCCCACGCTCAATGCTGTTGCCCTGTTCAATGAATGATTTAGCCGTGTTATTAGTTTACTTGCGATTGCAAAACAATGTGACGCGACTGTATCGAGTGTGATGTAACACAGGTTGAATAATAAGGTCTGTAGTGCCTGGAATACCTGAGCTGAGAGATGATGGTCAAGGCAAATATGCTTATGTTTGTAGACAACGCTCTGTTAAATATGCCGTTTTTAATCTGATTATATATTAATAATCTTCCCCGAAGAAAATGAGTACTAAACTAGCTTATTTTCGTCGAAATATAGTTACTAAATATGTTCTTCTGTAATTGTCTTTGCATTCCTTGGTTTAATATGATTCATTATGTTACTATTAATGAACACGTATATCTCATTAAATCAATGAAGTCATGGACGATTGCATATAAAACGTTTTCCAGGCTTAAAGTAAAAAACCGCCGAGTCCGTATGCGGACACGATGTTTAGATCAGGTGCTTTAGGTTTATAAGAAATCAAAACTATGTAAATAGGTTGCAGGGTTTTGATTTTCTAACAGACGTTTAGAAAAGAGGTTCGTAAATTAGTACTTAACCTTTGAGTTTTCTGATTTTTTTGTAAGTTTGCATCAAATGTGTTTTGCATACATGTCAAAGCTAACAGTTGTTCGGCAGAGAACGCGAGAGCGCAGCGACAGCTACGGACGCGTGACCGAATATTGTTTAGGTACAGTCGTGTGCAATATTCAACACAGAATTTAACCATGCCTGAGAAACAAATGCGTTCGTGACAAAGTTAAAAGTTCACGACATCGTTGTTTCTAGTATTTTGTAAGTAGAACAATGGCGATTGTTGCTTTCATTAAAATAACAGTTAAGTGTTAATTTTAACACATTATTAGCCGAAAGTAAACTAGAATAGAAGATTGCAGTTACGCAACATGTAATGCCATCAATATTCTTTGCGCCATTTTACAGAAGACCTTGAAAGAGTTATAATTATTTGATTAATACTTACATTTTGCATTTGACCGTGTTTTCTTTATTTATCTATGTTACAAAGGTGATAGTCATAAATCAAGAAATGTGTAACTACAGTTAAAGTACCTTTACGAAAAGAAAATATATCATTCTCCAATGAGAATGATATATTTTTTTCAATAAAAAACAGAGACAGCAATGTGTTCTTGTACACACGGGCTTTGGAAACTCGCAGTATGATAGTATATCAATTGGGTTACGAAAGGCAACGTTTGCGATCTCTCTACGTCGGGCACAGGAAGGGGCAAGGTCGGCGCCCAAGCGTGAACTTCCGACACGTTGACAACTTCAACCAACGACTCACTTGGTATCATTCACTCAAAATATGATTCCTAAATCACTCAACCGTTCTGTTAGCATTTATCTTAAGATGTAAATTATAATTTTGAAGCTATAGGAGGCTGAGATAGCCTTTGAACTTATTTTCGTACCACTTGTAATCCAAACCTATCATCTTACATTAGCCACTTGGACCTCACTGTTATGTGTATTATTTTTTTTCAAGATACACAGTTATTTGAAGTAGTTGTTGTAGTTTTTATCTCGGTTATTCTTTCACTTTCTTTTAGCATAAATACAACAACGTGACGTAGTTCATAATAATGACGATGGTAATAAAGTCTTTAAGTATAAGCCTAATCGATTCTTCAAACAGCAGGTGTAACGTAAAATTCCTACGATAATGAAAGTGAGAATAATTGGCCGGCTGCTTATAGAATACAGAAAATGAAAAAGGAAAATAAATTGGCTTAAGTTGTGGAGTAAGCGATGCGTGTTTATTTTTACGAGTCAACGATCCGCGTACCAGAGGCGGTACCACGTTTGCCGTAGTTCGTACCCGGTTCGTTAACGGAAGCGTAGCAACCATAACAAACGTTTTGGTACGACCGGCGGACATTAATAAACTAACGGGATGAATTGCGGCACGTTTCCACGTAACATTATATCTGGTTGGTAAACAATCGCCTAGGGGCAGGTACGTGCCTGTAACGTTAGAACGTCCCTACCTACCTATGTCGGGCACTGCGTAGTTATTGCGACTTTTCAATTGTATGTACAAACATGTCGAAGGGTTGATATGTATGTTGATAGGCTATCCTAACATTTCATTTAAATAAATGTATTCACAAGCACTGAGGCCGATTATAAAAAAAAATGTTACTTAATTCCAGATTGTTATGAAGAGTTACAGGTTCGAATTTAGAATGTGTAGAAGTAACGTAGTGGCTGCCTATATAGCCGTTTGGTATTCAGTTACTTTTTAGTTTTCAAGTACCATTACATTGCAATTAGCAATTTTAAACAGAAAGCCTTTGTTTCAAACCTAAGACACAGTTTGGCAATTGTTTTCGAAAGACAATTAGTACTCGGTTTCGTGATTAGTAACAGTTTCACATCTCAATTAAAAAACTAATCAATAGATTTATAGTGAGCCAATATTCAGTTTATATAGTGTTGAGTGGCGGCCGCGCCGGGCCATATGTTCGTGTTATAAATACAGGCATGCGCGTGTAGGTGCGCCTGCGCATCATACATGCCAGGAGAGCCGCCGCCGCCCACTTACAAATATATTCTTTTGCTAAATTCGTCGACATGGATTGATCAATGAACCACATACTCGCACATGCGTCTAAACATACAAGACGTTATATTAAAGTGAGATTTTTAGTGGAAATGATCTTAGTATTGATATAACCAGAATGAAACCTCCTGCAGTAAATAAAACAACCGCGAAGCCATGACATACTGTACTTATAGACAAATATGCATATTGCTGTCATTTACAACCGGATTTGTAAGGAAAAAATTACAAATCACTCTTGTGTGTGTTATCCATCGTTTAATATACATTTATTATGTATTTTTATACATTATACTAAGAGATTATAGTGAAGGAAGTGTTACACTTTGTATGTGCGTTGTGAAATAAATACGTCATCAATCAAAGTAAACGGAAACGAAGTATTTGACGGGGAAATGATTGTTCACGCTTTTCCCCTTTGAAAGTCACCATAGGTCTGTTGTAAATTACAATTGATATAAACATTTTTGTGCAGATTATATTTTCACAGTGCATTTGGATTTCCAACAATTTTTAAATGTAATTTTCTTATACACTGCAACTTTTGATTTAAATTAATGATGATTGCTACTATTTTTTAAAATCCATAGTTATGGTTTTCTTTTGCCTCACCTATAAGATTTTTTTTACATCTTTATAATTGTTAACACCTATTCTAGGTTTTCTTGTCTTAATACATACAATGGATTGATTTACCCTTGGTTGAAGTATGTAGTGTATTTATTTATACCTCATTTTTCAAGTCTAGTATTGGCATCAATCATATTTTGTTGCATAATTTGGTATTTTCGTTTAGTACTAAGCAACTCTAGGTCCGAACTCAATTTTTATCGAACCCCCGCATCGTGAAAGCCTTGACATTTATGGAAGTATAACAACGTTAAAAGAGAACCTACTTTTCGAACTCATGACACACTTTATTAAGTTACTAATACTATTTTTACACTTTCTCTATGCAGGCCAAACTAAATTATACTTTTACGTGTATGCAACATTGTGAGATTTATGTGGTAATATCACCGGTAAATCGTAAACACCTATTTGTCCAGGAAAGTTACAAACGGCTGGTATTCACGATTTACCGGTGATAGTATTGGTCTTAAAAAAATTGTCAATAATAATGTGTGTATTTATGTATTCCAGGTGTTGTACTTGATGCGGTGACAGGATGGAGGCGGACCGCGACAAGCGCATGCTGGAGCGCGAGGTGCTGCGCAACATGATCCAGCAATGGAACGCCAACAGGCTCGACCTCTTCGAGCTGAGCGAGCCCAATGAGGCAAGTCTATATTACAGTGTTTACAATATACACTCAGTAATAACTGTGGCTATGTATGCCTTAATATCCGCGCGTCCATGGTATAGGTACTTAGGCTCTTTAAGACTGATAGATTGGTCAACCTTTTTAAACGACTACCCAAAAGAAAGAGGTACTCAATTCGTCTGTATTTTTTTTTTTACTTGAATAGGCTTGATTTAAGGATATCAAATCCTGGCCGAATTGAGAGAGTGAAGACGTAATTAATTTCTTTCACGTTATCTAATCTTCAAAGTTTTATGCAAAAAGATTGGCGATAACTTCCTCGACGCAGTATTAATAACAATGAATTGAATTCATGTAACAATAACAGTCACTAAATTTTTAAGTAAATATTAGTAAACGTAAACATATTGTAAAGTAGTCTATATAAACATAGTAAGGCAGTCTAAACAGGTGATCGTCGCCGCGACCTTACAATTGTTCTTCGAAACAATGCGATTGTTTAAGATTTTCGGAAAACTGTACGACTGTGCGAGACATTACCGTTCTCTTTTAAACTAAGTAATATTATTGTTATGATGTGTAAGTATGTTTACGTTTATGTACTTCCCATACATAATATCATCCCAACGTCAATAACCAATCCAAATTGTGATATTGCCCAAAATATAATGTGTATGCGTATTATTTAACTCATTGGATTTAGTACTAAAATTAAACAATGGTGAATTGCGTGTTTCACTAGACAAACTGCTACTTTAGAAAGTTTTTGACAATCTAACTGTATAGATTACTTTTTGCTAAACCCTAGTAATTTTAAAGTGTACTTAGAAAATGTCGCTGGCCTATATGTTTTAAAAACGTCTGTAGAATTACTAACACTGTTTATTTCATAGAAATATGTAACATAATGACTCAGTGTTTACATTATGATACATAGCGAAAGTAAACAAAACAAAGCACGTTGTTTGCGTTTAAAAGCATTTAAAATCTTATTTCAAGTATCATAAGCAAACACTGTAAGTAAGAATGTTGCGAAATGTTTGTTTCTGGTTTTCCATCATTTTGTTTTTCTTCTAAAGTAGATTTCTCTTGGAAGCGCTCATTTTAAAACAATTTGCTTTGTGAACCATCCTTATCTATTGAAGAATGCGCTTTAGATAAAATGTTTCCGTGTGTACACGACTGATATCTATCGTAAAGTTAAAGGTGTAATTCTAGGCTTGGACTACGATTTAAATGCAATGAAACATGCTCTTTCGAATGAATTTTTCTTCCAAATTAATTATACAATGAATTAATAAGACAATGTAAATGTTAAGTTAAATAAGATCATTAAAAGCTGTGCATTAACCATAATATAATTATTTATTTCCAGAACCTGGAGTTCCATGGAGTAATGCGCTTCTACTTTCAAGACTCCGGCCAGAAGATAGCGACGAAATGCATCCGCGTCGCATCTGACGCTACAGTTAGCGATGTCATAGGTAACTATAATATTCGTTTACCTCAATATTAAACAATCTTATATGCTATGAAAAAATCTACTTTTTAACCGACTTCCAAAAGGAGGTGGTTCTCAATTCGTTTGTATTTTTTTTTTAATTGAGCACAAGTTAGTATCGTACTTTCGGTATTCCAGGACCGAATAGGTTTTTCTATTTCAAATACCATAGTTCCATGAATATCAATGGGAACTGCTTACGCACACCAAATATTAAGCAATCAATCATAAGATGCAGTGGTAATCGATTTGTATTTCTTTAAGTGACATTTATTGTGATATAATTTATAAACAGGTCGTCTAATAAGGTACTAAAGAGCCTTCATCTATTATTATGTCACGTTATCGTTGTTACAGACGAGTCGTAAAATTAATTAATCAGACAGTATCGTTGTTATCGACTTTAACAAGTGTGATAATGTATATCATAAATGTATAGTTTTGGAATACTAGTTGAAAGATAAAATACTAAAGCGTGTACATACTAATGTTTAAACAATAAATTAGTATAGATTTCCCATACTTTACATTACATGGACTCTCATAGTGAGCATTTAGGACTCTGAATGTGGCGTATGTCTATTATTAAATCCCACCACTGCAAAAAAAAAGAATAACTAAAATTAGAATAAATAATTTGATTCGCAGTAACCGGTTAATAAAATTATTTGCTCAAAATGTATTTTTATGAGACATTGCTAAGACTGTAGAGGAAAACCAAAGAAAATATGGATGGATTGTGTGAAAGGGAATAAGCTTAAGAAGCTAGTGGATTCAGATATGACGGCTGATAGAAATGCATGGAAGAGGCCGCTGTTCCTACTGTGCTGACCTTCCATAGGGACAAGGAAAGTTGATGACGAAAATAAACATATGACTTTAGCTAGTTTGATATTAAATTGACGAATTTTTGCGACATGTTTCTGGTTGTTTTTAATCATGTTTTTTTCTCCACCAGAAACTTTGATCGAGAAGTTCCGTCCAGACATGCGCATGCTGTCACTGGGCTCGTACTCTCTGTGGGAGACGCACGGGCCCGACTACGAGCGCCGACTGGAGCCACACGAGAAGCCGCTCTTAGTGCAGCTCAACTGGCACACCGACGACCGCGAGGGACGATTCCTGCTCAAGTGCCTTACTAATAACGAGGTTAATGACCTATGTACCTCAACACTAAAAAAATGAGAGTTATGCCACCTATGTTGGAATCGAGGTCTAAAATCCGAATACACAATAACAAATACGAAATTTTAATTTTAACTTGTTCAAACTTGTTACAAGTTGAAATTGTACAAAGTAGTTTATAGAAGTTAAATTTTAAATAAACTCGAATGTTACAACTGTCAAGTCTGGACGTATCTTATTTCACTTTCGTAAATATGATAAACGTTCACTTATCACATCTCAAAGATTCTGTGTCAATAGTAATTAGATTTATTTTAATTCGCAGGTTCCTCTGTCTTCCGTCAATGAAAAATCAGATCAGAACTTCAAAAGAAAACTGTCAAAACGTGAAAAGAAAGAGCTCAAAAAGAAAGAAAAACTTTCAAGATTAAAGTCGGACACCAATGACGAAAACAGACCGATTGCGGAGAAACTGTACACAGGTATTAATCTTAACTACATACAATTTGAGACAGAAATATGTTTTTATCTATTACTAGCTGTTCCCATGCGGCTTCATCCGGATGAAATTATTAAAGTTTTATTTATTGCTTACATTTGTCAAATTATCAATTGCAAATGTCAAAATGACATGACAAACATTGGCAATCTTACTTCCTTAATGTTAGCAGCAACTTGTGGTCTCTTCCCACATTAGGGTTTTTATCAGAAATATTTACCCCCTAAGTTTAATGGCGTTAAAATATATAGCCTAAAGCGTGACGCAAATGTAGGCCTTTTTATTAAAAAAAGAATTATTTAAAAACATGTTGTAATTGCTGACATCTTAGGCAACAAAGAAGTGTGTGTTTATGCTTTATTATAATAGTATAGATTGTATAATTTAAGATTCACCGCCAACGTGTATTATATTCTAAAGTACCTATGCTTTAAACACTGCGTTTCTATACAATGGTGGCAACTCACACCTTATTGCAGAAATTTGTATTTTCTGTATCGTTTAACAAGTCTACAATGGAAACGTAGTTAACTTCATTATGATCATTTAACAGCAACACTTTCTTTTCGAAACATTCTTGTTAGCGCATATGATGTATCTTTTATAAGAGAACGCCTATATTACGTGCGTATTTCCTTTCATTGGAATGATTTATTATGTTTACTATTTAAACTTGATTTTTAATTTTTTAAAGTTATGTACGACATACAAACCGGTTACCGGTTTTTGTAGTGGCACGTCGCTAACACGAGTACTCGAATGCTTGTCTTGCCAACTGAAGCGTTGGGTACTATAAGTTTGCGTGTGTCCAGAGTTGCCGGAGACGTCGTTCACGCGCAGCATCAGCAACCCGGAGGCGGTGATGCGGCGCCGGCGGCAGCAGAAGCTGGAGAGGAAGCTGCAGCAGTTCCGCTCCAAGGACGGTGGACCTGATACAGGTAATTTTATTAAACCTCTTAGCCTATTTATTCAACTTATGAACTGTCTATTAATATGTTAAGTCCAACGTAATTGACGCAGTCCATTAGTACATTTTTGCTGAAGAGTCAGATTATCGTAGATATTGCTGCCTACTTTACAATATGCCAGTAAAGTCAGTAGCATTCAAATCAGCATATAACTGGCAGAAAGTAAATACTAAATACTAAATGGAGCCAGTGAGCCTGCGCCTCTGTCTTAATGCTAGTCATATGATAATGTCAACTAGACATTGTTCATATTTCAAATACTGGTAGCTATTACGACAATAGTTTTTATTGAAAATGTAACAAATTATTCAAAACACTAAAATATTTGCTGCCGTTTAACAAAAAAATTGAAAACGTTTCAATTACATTTTTCAAATTTCAATTACATTGCTTAGGGATAGATACAGGAGTTAGAGAGGTAAGAAGGATACAATAAAGGGCAGAAATATCAATAAATCCCGTGTCATGTCCGTCAGGCGGTACACTGAAGATCTACGGGTCATCGCTGTGCGCGGACGTGCCGTACAAGACGCTGCTGCTGTCGGTGGGCGACTGCGCCGCCGCCGTCGTGCGCGAGATGCTCGACAAGTACGGCCTGTCCCGGCACGAGCCGCACCACTACTGCATCGTGCAGGTATACTTACTATTTCATATTTATCATATGGTGCCTAATAAGCAAGGACTGTTTTCACGGAAATAGCGAAGCGACGCTGATTGTTAAAATCAATCATAAATACTTTTTTACTTATCGTTATCTACACCAATATTATGAAGAGAAAAGTTCTTTATATTGATTAGGTTCCGAAAATACTGAACAGAGTAAAAATTTTTTTTCGCCCTTAGAATGCAACATTGCTTTAACAATGGGAAGAGTTTGGATATTACTGAAAAGATGAAATATAAATTGCTGCGTTTATACAAAAATGATTTTTTACCCTTACATTTTAAGACCACTGTTTGAAAAGTTTATTTGTTAGTGATATCCAGGTGTGGCCCTTTTTCTTTAGACTTTATATTACTAGATATTGTCTATTAGACTTTATAATCGTTATGAAATGTGATACGATAATAATAAGAGAATGTGTTAATTTAGTGTTGTTTTAACAGGTGGATGCAGCAGATAACTCTGAGTACATCCTAGAGGATGACGAGTGCCCGCTCGCTATCGTGATGACGCATCCTCATCGCAGTGAGTAATGTTTCAACTTTTATTATCTATTTAAATGTTTATGTGTTAATGTCTAGTAAAATAATATAACATGTAAAACTACAAAACCAAACCTACAGCTTAGTTGGAAATATTAGTAAACTAGCTGTTCCCGTGCGGCTTTATCTGCAAGAAATGTTGTAACTTTATTTTATTTTTACATTTGTCAATTGCAAATGTCAAAATTCAAATGCACAAATGACAACCATGTCAACCTTGCTTCCTTGATGTTGGCAGCTTGTAGTTTATGGTCCCTTTCCCACTTAAGATTTTTTCCAATTTATTTACCCCCTAAATTTAAGCTATTAATAGCGTGAAAATACGTAGCCTAAAGCGTGTTTAGGTTACTTGTAAGTGTTAGCGTAAGGCTTTTTATTAAAGAAAGAATTATTCAAAAGAATGCTGTGTTGCTGTGTTGTTAAAAAATAACTGACATCCTACGCCACGAAGTAATATGTGTTTACGATTTAATATATTAGTATAGATATAGATATAGATAAACAAAAACCTTCTAATATTTTAAAACAAAAAAATATTTGCTTAAATCATCACTAGAAGAGTATATTTCATTCCTAATAGCGCCATCTTTCAATGTTTTCATAGAGATTATAGAGTTTGCGCTGTAGCATGGTCGGTTGCCTGTATGACGTTGATATCTGTCATCCATAAGTAAAACTAACGAGTATCAGAAAAAAGATGGCGCTAGATTTTAAAAAAAGATACCCATACAATTTATATTTTCTCAGAGTTTCCGCAGAAACTTTTACAGAAAGTAATATATTTGAAAACCAATCTTTGGTTAAATATTAAATTTGATTAGCTTTGACCAAGATACGATATTTTAAACAAAGTCCACAGTAAATATTTATTACTAGCTTTCGCTCGCGATTCCGTCCGCGTGGAATTAAGAAAAAACAAAAGTGAGTAGCCTATGTGATTTTCCAGACTATCCTCTATATCTAACCAAATTTCATCGAAATCTGTTAAGCCATTTAGGCTACCATTTCTAGCAAACATCCATCCATATCAACTTTCGCATTTATAATATTAGTATGATTATGAATTTCCGTATAAACACACATTTAAAACCTTTATAAATACATAGATTTATGCTACATCCTATGTTATTGTTACTAAAAAAAAATTTGAGTGAAAAATGTTTCAGTTCGTTTCAATTTCAACACAGAATATTTTTTTCGGCCACTCCATTGTAATGTCACTCCAATAAGTATGAAATGTGAAAAGCAAATAAAATGAATGGAAGATAGATATTTCCTTGTCGCTTTGATATAGCGACGTGCGCTGGGCGCTGGGCCGGAAATAACACTGCGCTTGCTTTTATAACACTATATCCGTATTCTTTCATTCATTGTTTATTGCGAGCGTTGCGAAAACATTTTGTATGATTTACACAATTGGTAAACTGTAAATAGGCCATGTATTTATAACTCGGAAGATACAATTTACTACATTTCTAACATTTAGTTTTAGCAGTGGTAGTGCCCGCTTTAACACCTTAGCACGAATGGGCCGGCACGCCCGGTGTAATACCACGACCACACAGAAGACAGGTGTGAAATGGAAGCAATTCCGTGTTTCGTCTGATGAGTGTGGTGCCGGAGGCCTAATTTTAGTCCCTTTCTCTTTACCACCCTTTTCTTATAAGGAGAGGATGGGAAGAGAAAGTAGATTTGACGGTGGAGGAGATGCATAGGAAGGGGAAATATCCTCTTTATGTGCGTCTCCTCCTCCGTCGGATAAGGGTAGGCAACGCATCTGCAATTGCGGATGTCTATGGGCAGCTGTCGCTTCGCCATTTTGGCGGATTCAGGTGGCCGCGTGCTCGTTTGCCACCTTATGTTATAAAAAAAAAAGAGCTTTAATGACGGTCATAATAACTGATAGCATTTACTCTTTATATCGCTTTTTTGTAGGCAGCTACGGATTTGGTAATTACCCATATGTTGTCTCAAGTGATTAAAAGTGGTTGACACTCTTCATATCTAATAATATATAATCATCACACTTCATACTTTCATACTAATATTATAAATCTGACAATTTAGATGGATGGATGGATGGATTTATGTGTGTTAGAGTTTGTAGCTTAAACTACTGAACGGATCTCAATGAAATTTGGCATAGATGTAGAGGATAGTCTGGAAGAACACATAGGCTACTTGCTTTTGTTTTTTTTTTATATCACGCGGGCGGAGTCGCTGGCGAAAGCTAGAATTCTATATTTTTAATAAAATATTGTATTAACAAAATCTTTATTTGAAAAGCAATATTTGAAAATTCCGAGCGAAATCCCATATTCATATGTTAATTTCTAACACCCGGAGGCGAGGGAGTCCTACAGATATGAATTAAAGTTGTCTCGCATCACTCTCTAAAAGCGAGGACTCGTGGTTTTGACAAAGCTTTCAAGTTAATTTATATGTTAATTACATGTTTGGATTCTCAATTTATATATAAGTACATACGTGGATAAGGCAAGGAAGGTGTTTTATTTTATGAATTTAAAAGGGGACAAGGATATATGCAACTAACAACTATTCGTGTGTATCTTATACTTTTAAATTGTAACTCAATGTAGTTGAATTCTTTGTTTAACCACGAAATAGAAACGATAACAATAAATACTACAATGATTACAATAAACATTTTTGTCCACATAACAAAGTTACGATCATACTTGTTAACTAAGATCATCAAATAAGTATTTATCATATAAGATTTATAATGGCAGTGTAATTTTAAAAAGTTACAATTAATATAGTTCTTTTTCTATTATTGAGTTTCTTATTGCCAGTCTCTGTGGACATAGCTCAGCTGCCATCGAAACTGGCAAATAGCTGATAATTAGCTCAGTTCATAACTTAAAATTTATCTTTGGTATTGCTCAGATTATTATTTTACCTATTTAATAATTAAGTCTTTGGTGTATGAAATGTTTATTTAAACGTTTCTTAACACTTCAGAAGTTTTATACCCTATTGTGGACTGCTAATAAGCTCGTTTCCGAGATCCAAGGCGACATGCCTTTCCTTACCCACCTGACGAATAATTATAGGTTAAAGTGTCTATCTGTTTCTATGTTAGTATGCTTGTTATACTTTACTTCTGCGTAGAGTGAGGACTAAGAACATGTTTACAATATTACAGTAGTAACCCGATTGGTTAAATATGATAATTGCGTTAAGGTGCACCACCTTTGGTTGAAGTCAAAGTCAATTTTTGTTCGAACAACTTCCTGCTGTGAGAGACGCAGATGCACAACAATTGCTTTTTATAAGCAAACATATGACATATCTCGACATCGAAGACCAAGTAGGTCAATGTGGAGAGTTTTATGTGGGTACAAAATGATGCGCTTGGACATTGTACGAGTACCTACTGGAGGTGTGCCGTGTGTAGTTGATGTGCGGGGACCGGGCGCGGACAATGCTCGCTGTCGCCCTCGCCGCGCCGGCAGTCGGCAGGCAGACGCCGCGCCGCGCGCCCACCGCGCCCGCAGACATGGACTGGGGCATCCGGCGTAAGTTGGCTCTCCAACTCTCCCGCCCCGCCCCCGCTTCGCCCTCCGTCCCCGCGTCGCCCGATAGTAAACAAACGCATGTGGCTCGGCTCGTCCGAGCAGTCCGACCGGTGTGCTCGCACATGCCACTCCGCTCGCGGTATTTTTAACCCGTTCCTCGGTTCGATGCCCGTTCGTTCGCCGAATCGATATGCATAACACGGTCCTTGGAAGTTTCTTTATGCGAAATTCCATGTGTTTATAGTTTTAGCAAAATAAGTTTCCAAGCGAAAGTTTCGGCGCAGGCTCGTAAGTTACAAACTTGTTTTGATCTAGTTAGGCACGCTCTCATTGGGCCACTTTGGAAGTTGAATTTCTTGATTAAATTTTATTGTCAAGCAGAGCTTACAATGTTCCTTCGAACACAAATTCAGCAATTTGATTTCGCGAGGGAAGGCCTCGATAAAAAAACTGTTTATAGCGTCCATAAAGTTGTGTGACAAAGAGCAATTTGACCTTTCGCGTTACGGGACAATTGAAGAGGGTCTTTTAGTGACTTAATAAGTGGGATCAAACTCGTAGCATTATTAGCCTATGTTTTACAAGAAACAAGAACCTATGTTAAATCTGTTTCGAGTAAATACTATTGTCATTAAGTGTAAAGTATATCGGTAAAGTTCAATCAAGTGTTCAAATGTCATCGAGCAAACGACCCTCTGCAATTTGCTGGCTGAAATAGTGACGAAGATACATGGGTGTTATATTAGCTGGGACCGAGAACAATCCCGAGGGTAATTGATGAGCTTCGTCTCGTTCCCGTGACGTCACCACACTGTCGGACGCACCCGTCATGATACTGAAACTTAACAACTTAATTTAATTAAATTATGTTTTTTGTAAACACAAATATAAATATGTTACTATCCAAAATCGAAACTCAAAAGACGTGATAATTTTGAGCCCCTTTGTCTAATTGTGTTGTGTAGCTGTAATTTTATATGTGAAATTGTACAATTGTGAAACGACTAGTCTTTTGTACAATTCCTATCTCTGCCTTTAATAAAACGAAATTTATTGAGAGATCTTTAAACGTTTTTTCACTAGTGAGATGTTAGAGTTGTTTTAACAAAAAAAAAATCAAAAAGAAAACAGATCCTATCATATCCATTACAAACATAAGTACATGCAAATAACAAAACATAAACGTGATGTGCCTTGAAATTGATTTACGCATCATTTGCGTGAAGAATACGAGAAAGCGCATCTCAAATTCTGCACGACCAGCCTTATGGCCAGTGATACCCGCTTATTCAGCGGGCGTAGCGAATCGACGCAGCAAGCTTTCGTTGAATTTGGTTTACAAATGCTTCCAAATGAGTCCCGCAACGGTTTAACGAGTTCGTTGTTATGCGGAGTCTATAAGCTTCAAGTCTTGCGACGATTGAGCTCTTAGATTTACGTT